CATGAGCACAAACAAACACTTAGCAGCTGGCTTTTTTGTGGGGTTCTAACGCTCTCACAAAGGTATTTCATAGTACATAGGTCCTTCCAAAACATTTTCATTTGTCTTCAACCTCTAGGCTGGCTTTCTCCATTCCATTTGTGAGGAGGGCACGATCTGTAAGAAATTGATGGTGGTGGGTTATCCAACAGCGTTTAGGGACCAAGGTTTTTGTGATTTCTTCTTCTCTTGGTGTTGTATATATATACACCTAGCTTTTGCATGTAAATCCAAGGAGAAGGTGCATTAATAACATTATTCCTTTCATTGTTTTGAGGGGTTTTCTTGGAATTTTAAGAAGTCTAAGAAGGGTGTTATCATGGAACCATGGGAATGGAATTCCAAGTAGGATCAAGAAAAACACATGCGGGAAGAAGAGATTACTTATCTTTTGGCTTTTCCAAAATGGACTAATTAATGGTTAATTATACTTTGGCATTTAAGTACAGATATCATAATCTTCTATTGTTGTTGTTTTTAAACATCTCTCTGTATATGTTCAACCTCTTTTATGACTTGTGATCCAACCACTCCCCTAAAAAGGCTACCAAGGTTTTTCCAACCTCCACATGGTAAACCTTTTTCTAGTTTCATTTGTTTAATCATAACCAAACACCCATGCCAACATGAGTCATGGCTCTCTGTTATTTCCTCTTTTTTTGTGTGATCAAACCAAAGGTAAAATTACATACTTATAAGTTGATTTATTTATGTTTTTTTTTTTGTTATCTTGATAGTCTAAATCGTATTAATATACATTTTACTTGATTTGTCGTCTTTATAGTTTTAAAAATGTTCAATCTGAATCCACCATATAGTTCGAAGGAGTAAGGAGCCTTTCACTCTAAAAGGAAAACCCATTAGTGGTTATAATTTTAATCACCATGTGTACTAAACATTCAACAAACTCTATTGGTGGCTTCTACTTGCATCGTTGAAATTCATTGTTGATGTCCAAAGCTTGCTGTACAGCTAGCCAGCTAGAGTTTCATACCTCTTAAACAAAGAGGAAGGATAAAGGATTAGGTAAATTGGCATTCACAAGAAAATTCTAGCTAGGGTTAGGGAAAATGAAGATCAAGGAAGTTAACTAGTTTTTGTAGCCCGTCATTGTCACTAAGACATAAACGAGAGCTAATCATGAGCACAATATTGATAATAATTAGTTGAAACTTTCAACTCAATTACTATTTGATTACTGAAACTTGTGGTGATGTGCTGATTATGCTTAAAAGGCTACTTGGGACTTCTGATTAATCCAACAAAAAGTGGGGAATGTTAACTAAAGCTTGTTCTTTTATGTGATTTAGGTTGCCACCTTTTTCATGGCTATGTCGTTTTGGGGTTGTTTTACTTGGTTGGAATTACATTGAGCCAAAACTTGAGATGTAATCATAGGCAAGGTTATGAGGGGATCCATACACCTCCAATATGGGTCCAAGCTATAAGGTGCATATAGAAGAAAAAAAGATATGGAATGGAAGAATCCATTTTCCTCTTTTTTGTGATGTTTAAAGTTCAAACATTATTAATGGATAACCCATTTGACATTGCCTTTCTCTAGACAAGAGGGAAAGATGAAAACATAACTACATACGGGTGTCACTACTTGTGTTTGATTATTAATGCTAGTTAGCTAGCCTTTGTGGTCCTTGTGTGAGATTCAAGCTAGGCAACATTACAAGATATATAGTCATCATAATCCAATGAATGGTTACTATATATGAATGAAGATGAAACAATTTGCAATGCAAGCATATAGGGTCAATTATATACTTGACCTTGAGCATCTCTCAAGAAGCCGAGTTGTTTTGTTTAGATGACTTTTTAAGTGGTACTAGAGCTAGCTTTGATAAATAGTTGAATTTGTGTCTGTTCTGAATCACGTTAAACCCAAACATTCAATGTTGATATGAGCACATGCACGGTGCACATTTATGCACGCTACCTTCAGGTCCATTAGTTAACTTTTGTTTGATGGAACGCCTATGTATAAGAAAATAATATAAGATTCGTGCTTAAAAGTTAAACCACTGCTCCTAATAATTCTCGACTCGACTTGAAGTAGGAACAAACTCATTCTTAAAACAACTTGCATCAAACTATATATCCAGAAAACACTATGTTGAGACCCGTCAGTTTTCATTAGTAGGGTTGTTGCTGGATTCGGGCAAAACCTGCATGGATTTGCTTTGAGACACCTTCCCCTAAAGCTAAGGTCTCGTACTAAGAAAACTAGGTAAACACGTACATACAAGGCACAATGGTCATTTTCCTTTTATTCTCGATGTGATATTTAAATAATACCTAACACACTCATATTACTCATCTTCAACCCTATGGATCGACATTGTTTGTAAAATTGGAGACTAGGGTTACTTGAAGACCTAGACTTCCCATGTGAACTCTCATCGCATGCCCTATAGATTACAAGTAAACTTTCAAGTCCCTTTCCCTCTACACAAAGAAATTATACATAAATTTTGGCAACAAAGCAAAAGAAACCATACCCAACCCACTAGCTAGGCAAGAACACCACCACAACGACTATATATAGATGGATCGAAGCTCTCTTCTCTTTTACATCGTTCAGCTTTTCTGGTACACTTTTTTACTGGTTGCATATCACTGTATATCAGCACTTTTTTCTCCCAGTCCTCAGTAATTATTGATGGTTGACGTAAAAACAAGGGCATGCAAAAACTAGGGGGAAAAGGGCATGCTCTTCGACTCGAAATCCTGGTTCATTGGCCATTGCCTTTCCAATCTCCTCGTATGCTGGTTCAGTTTTGTCCCCTTTCTCATGTTTTTTACTAGCCTAGATTCCGATTCTGGGTTGCTTTCTCCACGCCATCTTCATATACGCACTTGTAATCTTGTACACTCACGGGTGGAAATGGTTAATCTTGTAGCTATGACGCAATGTAAATGTTGTTTGTTAATGCCTGGTGATGCATATGAATTATTGGGGACCATTTTGTTAATAATGTTAGTCATATACAGGCTGTAGCTAAGCTAGATAGGTTGTGGTAAGCATATTGTAAAGTTTAAACATACAAACCGTACTGACGGTCCAAGCGGGAACCTCCTATCACAGTGTAAACCGATATGCGATTTTTAGTGGTATGAACTTGTTGAACTACGATATTTTTAACTTTTTCGTTATAATCTCTCTTATGGGTTTACAATACTTGGAACATGCATGTGAACGTTAATCATGATCATAGCCTCGTGGGGTTGATTAGTTGCCCCACAGTGAGCTATAACTTGGATCTGATTAAACTAATCATGTCTTTGTTTAGCAATAATTCGCTATTCTAATTCCCTTTCACCCATTAACCACTACCCGTGAATTGGGTTCTAGCTTATCTATCCTCTAGCCTTGTTGCGTGCATGTATGGCTAATTGGATAATCTACACAACGGCTACATATAATTGAGTAAGAAAATGAATTAGTTAGTGAGAAATGAGAATGAACTCTCAATTTTGGGTGGATCTATATATGCTAGTATAAAACTAGACTTTGATGATCATCTAGGTAGATGTGTTTCCTTTCTATCCAAATCACAAATAGTTCGAAAAAAAGTAAGCGACTGGCCATACCTAATTGGTTATTTCCAATTACGTAAATCAATAGTTCAAACCGCACTCAAAGGTAGAGCATTTCCCATTTTTATAGGAACTTTTGTACTAGAAATAATGATATCTTCAATTGTAGCCCCTATGAGATGTAAAATATATCTCTTCTCACCATCCCCATAGTGTATGAGACAAATGTATGCATTTCGATTATGGTCGTATTCTATGGTTATGATTCTACCATATACTTTGATGATCATCTAGGTAGATGTGAGCTCGAAGCAACAAAATTATGTTAGTATGTGGTATAAGAGTTATTATCAACCTCTACTAACAACTCGAGTTACCAACTTGTTCTTGGTATAGTGACAGAATCTTCAGTGAATGAGATGTCTTTATTCGTATCCCGATGACCCTCATTGATAAGGACGCGGTGTTGATATTTGTGCAAACTTGAATCTCATATGAGTAGCTTTCATTTGAGGGGTACATGTTAGTATGCGGGTTAAGTTTGGGTTGCAACTTGCTCATCAAATCCAACTTATGCACCCAATCCTAGTGATGGATTTCCTCACTAGACTGAGAGATGCGGATGATATCCCACTGAAATAGGCATTCTATGTCGGAGTATCCAATGAGACTTGTCAGAAATGGGTATGGGGGCTGGGATAGCACTCATCGTGAAGCAAACGCCGTGGCACACCTCATGACCCACATGTAATTTTGGTGGAGTCGTCGCATAATCTGGACAGGTAGATCCTCTGTGTTTTTTTATCGATAAGAAGTTGAATGATGTAGCACCTATGTCTGATTAGTAAAAGGTGACAATTTTGCGATGAGAAACAATACTCTATTCATCAAATTTTACATTGTAATAACCGATATATTTATTTGATATAGCCTAACAACTAGAATCAATCCATGCGTTAAATTTCTTACGATTAGTTTATCCATGAGAAATTGCAATTTATCATTAAGTTTTTTTGGTACATAGGGCCAAAAGCCCAAAACAAAGAGGATTCGGACTAGGAGAAAAGTAAAGGCCGAACCCATTGGTTCAAAAAAGAACATGATGTCTAATGGGCCAAAGCCCAGTAGCCGACTACAGCTCATCGCGCCCGGGTAACCCAAGGCCTACACATGGCAATCCGTGTCGCTCATATTGGAACTAATCTCAACCGCTCATAATCCAAGCAACCAACGGTAGAGATAGAGTAATAAAACTACTGGACCGAGAGAAAGGAAAAAAACCCAATTGGTTGAAACATGAAACTGGCACACATCACGCGGATCGCCATCTCGGGCCGTTCAATCATCTCCCCAATCAACGGCATGGATTTAATCTAACACTTCTGGCGGAACCCACGAAATTTTTCAAAATTTCCCTCCTCCGTCTCCCCTGAAAACCGCCTCCCTATATATCGCCCAAATCCGCCATTTCCAAAAACCTCCATCTCAAACCAGTTCACTTTCATCAATCCTCTCTCGCAAAACCCAGATCTCAAACTTCTCTCCAATTCCCCCTCAAAAAATGGCCCGCACCAAGCAGACGGCGAGGAAGTCCACCGGCGGCAAGGCCCCGAGGAAGCAGCTGGCGACCAAGGCGGCACGCAAGTCTGCCCCGGCGACCGGAGGAGTGAAGAAGCCTCACAGATTCAGGCCAGGAACTGTGGCCCTGAGGGAGATCCGCAAGTACCAGAAGAGCACCGAGCTTCTGATCCGTAAGCTTCCGTTCCAGAGGCTGGTGAGGGAAATCGCGCAGGATTTCAAGACGGATCTGAGGTTCCAGAGCAGCGCCGTGTCGGCTCTCCAGGAGGCCGCTGAGGCATACTTGGTCGGACTGTTCGAGGACACCAACCTCTGCGCGATCCACGCCAAGAGGGTCACCATCATGCCCAAGGATATCCAGCTTGCCAGGAGGATTCGAGGCGAGAGGGCTTAAACAGTGCGTAGATTGTTCGAATGGGTTTTTCTATGTCTGGTTGTTTCGGGGTTGTTGCCTAATGCGATTCGGATTGTGATTTTGGGTATGTATTTGCTGGGATTCCGAATTCCAGTGTTTAGATTTAGGGTTTTCTGAAGGGATGTAAATCTATTATGTTATGATTAATCCAAGATGGTTACTCATATCTTGCCTAGTCCACATAGTGAAAGTGATTCTTTCTCTAGTTCGCCCTTAATTAGCCGTCGAATTTGACGTAAAGGCAGAAACTTTTTCACAAGTTCTCAGTAGTCAGTACGCAGACGACAAAAAACAGCGTCGGAAGTCCAGAGAAGGAAGAACAATGCGATCCATGAAGTAATGGCTTCTTTGTATCCTCTGTTCTTTTAGCAAGGAAACTGGGAGTTGACAGGGGAAAAGAGAAGGAAGTGTAGGGAGAATGAATACTTGTTTAAGGATGACTATTGGCAGAGAAATTTTGGCACCAGTGAAGTTCGAGTTCGAGAACAAAAAGCAGTATTACAACCTCAGAGTATTTAGATAATAGATTGGGATCAGTTTTCCACTCTTTTGGAGGAGATGCAGATCCAAGTTGTTAAGTCTTACAGATCAAAATGTGTATATTTTAGTAGGGTAGTCTTACAGAGTTACAGTTCGATTATGTATCTTACGTTTGGAAGAACGACATGCAATTTGCAAAACTCAAGGCTTTGATTCTGATTTGTCTGTTTCTAAGATTTGTACATGTACAAGTCAAACTGATTCTAACTGTCTTAATATTCTGCATTAGCTTCTATGGGATCCAAGGACCGTCGTCTTTGGGAAATGAGGAGCAAGGAATATCTCTCAGTTCCGGCTATGATAGTACCATCGAGGGGATGAGCAGCAATGGCAGTAACGCCCTCGTTCAGCTGAATGTAACCGTTCTGCTTTTGCCTCTTCTTCGATCCGGGCTGAGTCTTGTCTTCTGTTCCATCACTGATCATTGTTGGATCAACAAACATTGCACAGAATTAATTAGAGTCAATGAAACAATAGTAGGGATCGGTGAGTTTTCCACGAGCGAATGGTTTGTGAGTGTGGTTCTCTTCACATACCTGTAATCGACATGGCAAGGGGATGAGGAGTTGGGATAGAAGTCTAAGAGATGAATCCCATCCCCAGACGATGATCCAACCACATATATCTGCAAGACCAAAATCATAAGTTTTTAGCTACCTTAACTAGTGAAGTAATCATGAGAAGAAAGTTCGATAGAGATCTTACTGAGTATGTCAGCAGCCATGATGGTTTTCGACAATACAACTCATTGGCTACATCAGCTGATCCGCTCCTGATGAGAGTCGGATTGAAAGCCACGAACAGTGAGTAACAAGAATCGAATTTGAGGATGCAAGATATCATAGAGAGAATAAACAGTACTTACACCCAGGCTGGAGGAGGGCAATGGACATGCGTTACTTGACAATTCTGAATATCCAAAATGCCTGACCTATATGACCGCAACCACCAAGTTCAAGTTCTGACATTAAGCTATCAGCTCCTTTCTAGGTTATAACAACTGCATATAAAATTGGTGATTCTCATTTTGTCACATACCAACCGTTGTCGAGATGAAAGGCAAGCTGATATGGGCAACTTGGGTTCATATCAATGGAGTGTATTTCTCTAGCCACAATGTTTGATTGCGCCTGGAAGTACAAAAATGACAATGGGGGCATTAGATAGGATCATATCATTAGCAAATTTCAGCCTATAATACCAAATTGTGCTTATAAGATATTTGTTTTGTACCTTCAAGGATCCAATTTTCTTGAGCATAGAGTCTATCTTCCAAGAAGTTACAGGTTGATATGACAATGCCTGCCCATAAACTTGTTATTAAGCAAAGACCAAAAATAGGAAAACTCAGCAAAAGAGCATGACTATATAGATACCTCTCTGTGATGTTGAATAGCAGAAGACTCCCTGCCTCCTCGAAGATCCCACATATAGATCGTTCCGAGCCTACCAGCTGCAAATACTGTCTGTAAAATTAATGAAAAGCATTAAACATTTCGCATGTCAAATTGGCCTTAAATTAAAATGATATATCAATTAACCACATTACATAAGGGAAGTCATTGCTGCTAACCTGATTATCAGCATGTAGTTGGATACTCAAGAGACTAGAATGAGCATTGTTTGAGAGCTCAAGACATGGGAAAACACTTTGCCTTGCATCCCAAATGTTAACAATGCCCATAGTATCAGAACCAAAGAGCCTATCATTACATAGACATTATTCACATATTATATGTGGGAGAAAAAAATAGAGATGACCAAATAATATTGCTAGTGTCAAATGAAATCGAATCAGAAGCCATTATAGTTTGGGCAACAAGAATCGTTCTCCAAGGTTGACATATAAGTCCTTTAAACCAACCTTGACTGATCACTTTTTGTAAAAGCTATATCAGTAATGTCTTTATGAATCTGAGAACCGGAAAGGGTGGCATTGCTCCTCGGTCTCAAGACCTGCAAAAAATAGTTCAACTCCAGTCTCAACATACGTAGATGGAATTAGTCATAGAAATTATTGTGTCAAGTTTATCTATTAATCAAGCAAGCTGTGCATATTTGTATCATCGAAGTTGTGGATCTGACTTGAACTAACACATTTGCCCTGGCAGACTACTGAAGCAAGGTAGACAAAACTTCCCAGCAACTTGTATGACCTACTTTCTACTGAGCACACACTGTGAAGCACACCAGCAACACTATCTAGCTAAAATATGACAGACTGTGTTCCGAGATGACAAAGAACTTTAGGAAGGACACATACATGGTCGCAGAGTTGCTGCCACCAACAAAGAGAAGTCTAAAAAATGACTCAAGCATGCACAAAAGCAATGTCATTTTTATGCCCAAAATGAGCTGTTTGAAATGGATATGGGAAATTAGAGTCCCTTACCCGAGCTGGCTCAGAAGAGACATAACCAATATCGTAGATTAGTACTTCACTGGTACTCGTAGAAGCACAGGCAACCTAGAGGAGAAGTAAAACCACAGGTTAACAAATTAGCAACAACACGAAATAACGTTACCAAGGAAAACTGGAAATGTAAGAACAAGCTACTGAAAAAGAATCTAAAAACCTCGTCTTGGTTGGCATAGTTCCATCGCACAGCCTCAAGTAGGCGTCCCGATTGTAGATGCAATACGACCTTACTTTCATGCAAAGGCAATCCTGAAAAGCAAGACATAGTTTCCTAAATGAAGCTCAACAACCAATCTAGTATCTACTATTGAACCTTTTATCGGTTTACCATAGTGGTATTATGCGGTGAAGAAAAAATGAAACTGCATAACTAAACCTGGTCTCTTTGGCAGCACATCAGTAGCATGACAATAAAGGGATTCAAAGTCATGGATTGTCAAGCAACCATTTCTGTTCACTGAGGCTAAATATATCCCCTGAAAAGAAATCCCAATCCAGCCAATGAAAGAATCCCCAAGCTACAGAACCTTAGTAGGCATGGTGATTTATAAGGCTTACTTACCTTAGAGTCAAATTCCAAGCCAGAGATTCCACGACTGCAAATTATTACACAAAAGCATTCTTTCAGCATTTCAAAGTTCAGGAAAGATAAACAAATTGGGAAGCAAGAGAAAAAGAAGCACTCACGATCGGATGGGAGGCAATATACCAAAATTGCGAGCAGCATTGAGAATCTATGGCAAACGCAAGAACAATTTATCAAAACCTCAATCCCCGAAATCAACAACCATTGAAGAATAAAATTGGGAGTGGAATAGAGTGAAATCCTTACGTGGGTTTGACATGGGAGCCCGTCCACATGGTAGTTATGAGGAAAAGTCCCCGTCTTGACAAAACATCCCCAACAACCAGTAATTTTTGACAGGAAATCTCAATTTGTCTACAAAAATTGGGGGAAATGAAATGAATTGAAGAACCTGAGAGTATGATTGCATGAGAAGAGGGCGAAGATCCAAACGGTAAGAGGGATCCAATTTCCCAGTTAATTCGAGCAAGCTCCTCTTCCATGGCGGCTGTCGCCTTTTGAAAATCAAAGAGCAGTTAGCCGATTCTTCAAACGGTATTAGAGATGGAAAAAGAAGGAAAGTTGAGATGGGGAAACAAGAAACTGCCTACCTGCGACTGGGCTTATGGGTTTCCGGCGAGGGTTTAGCAGGTACCAAATACTTGTCCATTTCACCGTCGGTGGATAAACGGCAGCTCGGTTGAGTGCAGAGGTTATAGTTGTTGGCGCCATTTTGTCAGTCCCGTCCCGCCATCAAAGCTCCCGCTCACCTGCTTGAGTTTATGGGCCTTTGCCGGACATAATGAGAATGGGCCCTTAGGTGTTTTGGCAACACACAGAGCCTGTTCAAGCAAGATTGGGCTGGTAAATGGGCCCATTGACTTTCAAGTCCTGTCATTTACCTCGAAATTTGGTATGTCAAACTGTAAACAATTGATCACAAAAGCATTCTCATGGATAGGAATCGAAACCCTAATTGACGGATCCATCACACGGCCAAAACTTATCCATGTTTAGTTAATGATTAAGACACTTCATGCTGCCTAATGAATTGGGTTGGGGCACAATTTAGGGCTGCAAACGAGCCGAGTCGAGTCGAGTTTTTGCTTAGCTTGAGCTCGGCTCGTTTATAAATTTTTTAGCTCGAGCTCGGCTCGAACTCGAATTTTCATCATCCAGCTCGAGCTCGAGCTTGACTCGATTAAAAATAATCCAGCTCGAGTTCGGTTCGATAAAGCTCGGTAAATGCTCATTAACACAGCTTGTCAAGCTGAGTACAAGCTCGGCTCAAGATAAGCTCGATTTGAAACCATTCTTGCTGAAAAATGTGTACAAATAAGAACATTAGAAATTAAAAATGATAAAAACAACACTAAAAATTAAAAATAACATCTAACTTTCATACACATCCTTATTAACAAGATAATTTTCATGTTCAGAAAAGTAATTAATCCTTTCACAAGCTTTAAACAAGCCAGCTCGCGAGCTTAGCTCAACAAGCCACCGAGTCAAGCTAGCTCACGAGCTTATCAAGTCGAGCATGGCCTAGCTCAAGTTTGGCTCGTTTACTAACGAGCCAGCTCGCGAGCCGGCTTGTTAAACAACGAGTCGAGTGTCGAACGAGTTTTTTCCGATTCGAACGCCGAGTTGCTCGCGAGCGGCTTGGCTCATTTGCAGCCCTAGGCACAAGGGCATCATCAAGTCGGCCAAAATTTTCTGGATATTTTTGGGGAATAGGGAATGAATCTGAAAATTGGAGGATCGGATTGGGATGAAAGCTTGGAATATACGCCAACAACATGCATTCAATTTCTGCGCAGGCAATCGGCCGAGACAGCGGCAAAAGGACCGCCGGGCCGGACCACCTCAAAACCTGGCAAATGGGAAGCCATCGATATTATTCCTTCTTCCCTTTTCAATCCCAAAACTTGAGAAAATATCAAAATTGGGGATATATAGAAAACTCCAAGCTCACATCTGCCCTCCACATTTTAATGGCTTCACGTGAAGTGTCTTGCCTGTTTCTACCCTTCCCCACGTTTGCATGTCTTTTACTTTTACCCTAATCCAATATTCACGGCGAAGGAGAGGAGGCCAGAATATGGTAACTTTTCAATCTAACCTTATTGTTTCACTAATAGTTATCTTAATACCAAGTTGCATACTAACCCAGAAAACATATATATAAATGTCCGATTCGATCTATTAAGTTATATGAAATTCCAGTATGAGATAACATATCGAGAGAAGAGATTCTTCCATTTGAGAAGGTGAATGTTTTAACAACCAGTTAATTCGAGTTAATAGAGTTTAAATGACAACCTTCTATCTTACGGGTCTAATTAATGACTTCCTAGATAAGTCGAACTAACAGACAGACTTCAAGAGTTAATCCATTAAAAATAAATGAAAGCAAAAATTGGCTAGAATGTGTGAGTAAAGAATGAAGTTACATGCTAGTAATGTTTAAGATATAGTCTCACTATTCCACTAAACGGTAAAACACATGACTTGGTGGATTAAGTTCTATTACGAGATAACATGTTAGATAAGAGATTTTTTCAAGAAATATTGCACTATAGTCAATATAGAGAATGTTCAAAGAGAAAATGACCAAAATAGTACATTCAATACAAAAAAAAAGTTACAGTAATAATTGATTGATTTCAGAGTTGTGTTTAACAAGCTAATTAACCTTAACATTATTTATTACTATGCTAATCATATTCTGCAGTACGTTCGATTAATAACCTTCTCTTCTTTGAAAGTTCACACCACATCATAATTCATAATTTCATATATATAGAGTAACAACTTTTCATATACATTATAAATACAACGCAAGAAATTAATAGCAAACTGTGAATTCTTTCTTCACTATGATCTCTCACTGTTTAGTCAAACACGGTCGTTTCAGCGGGCTGCCGCAAAGACAGTCATTGAACTCAAACGACGCCGCATCGAGGTGGTCAAACGGCGACCCGGCCGGAATCTTCCCGCACAAATGGTTGTAACTTAGATCCAAATGACCGACGTACGACGCCGACGTGATGGAAGCCGGGATCCCGCCGGTCAGCCGGTTCCGCGACAGATCCAGCACGGTGAAGTATGACCGGGGACCGAACTCCGGCAGCTTCCCGTCCAGCGCGTTCCGGCTCAGGTTCAGATTAGTCACCGACGAGCTGAACAGATCGGCGGGGATCCCGCCGGTGAACCGGTTCCCATCCAAATTTAGCGTCGCCAGGACGGCCATCCGTCCCAGCAACGGTGGGATCCCGCCGGAGAGGCGGTTGAGGGAAAGGTCGAGATCAGCTAGCCGGTAGATCCGAGAAACCGAGTCGGGGATCGAACCGGTCAGGAAATTCCGGCTCAGGAGGGCCCGGCTCAACATTCCGAGTCGGCCGAAGTCGGTCGGGATGGACCCGGTGAACCGGTTGTTCCGAAGGTCGAGGTGCATCAGACCGGATAGGTTCGTCAGCGACCGGGGGATCCGGCCGGCGATCCGGTTGTCGGCGACGTTGAGCACGGTGAGGCGGTGGAGCCGACCGATGTCGGCGGGGAGCTCGCCGCCGAGGCGGTTCCCCACGAGGTCGAGGACGCGGAGGGAGGGGAGCATCGTCGCGACGCATTTGGGGATCTCGCCCGAGATCCCCTTCCAGTCGGAGATGGTGAGGCTGGAGAGCCGGTTCAACCCGCAGATGGCCGGGGAGATGGTCCCGGTCATGTAACCGGTCCGACCGGCCTTCTGAAAGATCGGGTCCTCCGACTCGCCCCGGAGGTTGATGTCCGCGACCCGATTGGTTTTCGGGTCGCAGCTGATGCCGTACCACTTGTGGCAGCAATCTGGTCCAGTCCAAGACTTGAAGATGCCGATGTGGGGCTCGTGGAGGGCGGATTTGAAGGCCATGAGGGCGGCTCGGTCGGATGGCGGGCAGGCGGTGGTGGTGGTGGCGGCGGCGAGGAGGAGGAGGGTGGTGGTTAGGAGCGGAATGTGGCGGAAGTCGGCCATTGTTGGGGCGGCCGGGAGGGTTAAATGGGTCTTTTTGGGAAGTGTGTGGGAGTGTTTGACTTATTTTGAGACTTGAGCCACGGTCTTGGGGTTTATATATAGGCGGGAGATGGGGGTTGTTTACGGTAAAAGCCCTAACGTGTATGATTGGGGAATATTTTTTTGATTGGGAATTATAATGTGGGAGGGAAATGGGATTAATTGTTTGCATGTGGGAGGAAATTTAAATTTGGGACAATCTGCCACATATGGTAGTATGAGATGGGTTCTGGCTTTGTGTCATTTTAACTATAAAATTGAGAATATAAAGTTATTGAGAATATATCATGTTTAGGTTATATGTTGAATGTAGTTCGATATCGCTAAATTGCTAGAATAAGGAATGGTTATGAGTTCAAGAGTCAACTTGATGAATGGTTTGTATTTTATTGTCATGCAAACAGATAATAGTAAGTACACATTGCTAAAATACTAGCATCATGTCGACGCAGCTGTTTGTGCCACCGGTTTTTCGTTTGGGCTTGTTATTCGTGGGTCAGACGGGCATGTGGTGCTGGCGCTCGGACTGCAACATCAAGGAATAGTCAATCCTTATCTGGCAGAGCTTCTAGCTTTTAGAGACGCTATCTCCATCGTAGCCTCAAGATCCTTGACCCACGTGATAGTCGAAGGTGATTCCGAAGTGGTGGTCAACCAAATCCGTCAAGGCGTCTTTGAAGACTCGATTGGAGGTCTGGTGCTACAAGAGTGTCTTCAGATCCTTAGCTCTTTGTCTGTTTGCATAGAGTTTAGGGCGGTACCTAGATCCGCCAACAGTGCTGCCCATAGAGTGGCGCGTAAAGCACTGCTTTTGTCTCGTGTAGAGCTAGAATATTTTGATATTTTGGGTTGGCTTCTTTAGATTCTGTTAGGGGTCCTGGGTAGAATTGTAAGTTTAACTCTTTTCTTCCATTGATATCACTCAGAAATAGAAAAAAATAAAAAAATAAATAAAAACAATAACTAGAAACCTGTCATAAAGTCAGAAATTTGAACAACGGGTAGGTAAAAAATATCTACACTTTAGTGATTTGGACCATAGTGATTGAGGAGGGACGTTCTAGAGTTTTACCAACTAGTCTATTTTCAGAATCCATTACAAATTTTACACGTAAATTTAACTACATTTGAAATGTGAAAAGGACTATATAGCCGTGGAGGTATAAACATCTTCGCTTTTTTCTTAGGCAGCAGTGGAGTAACATCATCAGGGTTCAAATCCCCTCGGCGTGCTTCAACTCTTAGTCCATCCTCATTCGTATTTCTGACTCCGCCGCTGCTGATCTCCTTGCTCGAATCTAAGAGAGAGAGAAAATATGGAGAGATTTGAGATGTAGCAGCTAGTAGACAAGAGGGTGATGGACTGGTATAAGTGCCTCTCAAAGTCTGAATCCATGTGTATCCTTCATTAGGGATCGGTTTGGTTCTTATCAAGAACTAGTATACCACTGGTCTATTATCATACCAAGGCCCAGATTTCTGACAAGTTTGTTAACCAGTAAGTGACAACTCGACTGGCCTAAACTTGCTATTGCAACAATAATATAATGGTTTGTCGGACTGGGAACAATTGCCAACTAATTGATTCAGCCGGTTTAATTGGTTTGATTAGCGCCATAATTGAGACTTAAGAAGACCGTAGCTAGTTTGAATTATGAGGTTAGCTCATTTTAATAACATGCATGATTGGGAACAAGCATGTGGTATGGTTCATCATGTCATGTGGAAACGATAAATGCCCCCATGGAACAAGATCTCTTTTAGCATTTTTGGATTTATCAATTGAGGGTAACCCTCCTAAGTCCTACCTCAACCGATAATAATAGATGTAAAATTGTCATCTTTCTGCTAAACGAGTAAGTTATATACCAAACAACGATGAGTTATAGATCGGTCACGTCATGAGTATTATTAAGGTGTAAATCTAATAATGTTCAAAAATTCATCATGTAGTAAGCCGAGGACAAGTTCATTCTGAAATAGTAAGTGAACTACCGTCGAATAGGCCCTCTTTCTGGTCATAACAAGGGGGAATCAATTCATGTTTAATTTTTTCGGTGAACCGAAATCAAACCATGTGGCTCCTCTTATCGGTTTATGTTAACTGTTTTTGGAACAAGCTTTGCACTTACCGATTTCTGTTTAAACTAAGAAACGAATAAAAAACAAAAACCCCATTAACAATCGCAAGAGAGACAAAAGACAAGCGCATTTCGTTTTCCATTCATTCGTACTGAAATCGAACCGTTTAGAGGGCCTTTTCATGGTTAACCCATCGGTTCAACCGAACCAAAAATCCCACACCCACCCCTAATTTACTCATAATCTCGCCATATTTACTTGAACAGACCAACGGGGAGGACCGAGGAGACAGAGAGAGCGCATAGTAAGAGAAGTTAAGCAACCATCAATTAAATAACGCAACCATTAGCCAATATTCTTAGTAAAAAATAAGGGGAAAAAAAATATTCCAGACAAGAATCTACAATTCCTATCCAGCAAAGTAGGCTGTATATGGGGGAGTCAACAACCGGAAATCCGAAGTCAACAAGGAGAAGGATGAGACCCAGAATCCTAGGATCCCGCAGCCTGCTCTGCTTTCGCTCTTTTTCTAATGCAGATTGCAGAGTGAGTGAGACACGGCGTTAAACATGGAGATTTAACCACACTTCTTACTTCTATTCATGCTCTCTCTCTCTCTCTCTCTCTCTTGTGAGAACCTTCCTTCCATAGAGCTATAACCCTACATAGCCTTCTGATCAAGCTCAGCACGTCCATACCGACTCGAACCGACTGATATGAGCACCCTTCATAGCAGTTCTTTCTCCAACATCGACTCACAACTCAGCATAATGGCCCAAATCCATCATTGTCGGCGTCTTGAAATGGCCTTAACCCGACCTGCTTTCACCGAGCTAACAGTGTTACATGCTCGGTATGTTAGGTGTTGGCCCTACAGGATTGAAGCAGCCAACATTACTACCATATACGTACAACGAGTTGATATCCAACGAAGTAGCTTATCTTAATCTGCTTGACCTCAAATGGCGCGGAGTAAGCCCGAGATCCTGCAGGCTGCAGCCCACATTTGAGGAAGAACTGTACATGGCGAACCTCGAGCTTAACTCTCTACCTTTCAGAATGGAGTCCCATGGCGGTAAAATCTGACCAAACTTGACTACTTGCTCTTGGACTGTTGAAGAAAGTCAACGGTGAAGTCGAGCAGCCTGATGTAGATGAGCCACGTTATGGAACTGCGGTGGTGGCAAGGTATGGAGGAACGTTGGAGCCAAATTCTGGACTTGCTTCGGAACCATGCTCTGTGATTGCGCAGGATTAAGATCAGACAGTTCCTGCCGAGAAACCAGAGACATCATCAAATGTTTGAAATCATTAAAAGTAGAACTCCTCAGATTTAACACGGAATAGGGGTGTGCAACGACTCTGGCTGATAACAAACAGAATTGGCATTTGGATCGCATCAGGCAATAGATTTTCTTACAATAACGATAGAAAAAGGAAGACTGAATCAAAACCTGATAATATCAAAAGGATCAAGACTACGGCCATTATTTTTCCAGTGTTTTCAATCCAGTCCTATCCCGATCCGATTACAGACCAGGCCGGACTATGCACACCCCCTAGATATCACATACCACTAGATTGAAAGTTTCCAGTGTTCCCACACTTGTAGTAGCGCCCGACTGAGCAACCTGCTGCATACATGAAATCAAAACACTTAGCAACAGCCAGTTGATAACAGGTATAAAGTATCCAAGTACATCACAAAACCAAGAAACCAACCTTCCTTCTGGTTCCCTTCTCCTTCCCTGTTTCTGACAATCGAGGAGCCTTGTTGCCCGATATCACAATGTCCAGCTGAGGTTCAGATTCTCTGTCCACAGACACATTCTCTTCTTCGCCAGAGTGATTCACACTCCCACATTGCTTCAACCCCTCTTTAATAGCAGAAAGTGCAATGTTGTAACTCTCCTGAGAGAGTGACCCTTCTTCTCCCAATATTATAGCTCTACGACACAAATCGTTGAACCTTCTCACTCTTTCCTGCACTTCATCTAACTTCACACTAACCGGTTTCCTACTTCTAGCCGCATTTGTCCACCTCTGCAACACATACTTTGTTGGAATACTGAACACACCAGACATCTGAAGAACCACAATACCATGCCTGCATAGATAACCTTTAAACTCGAATGAACGACACGAGCAACATATCTCTGATCCCTTAGCATTCCACTCCACCACATAGCTCTGATCATCCTCAAAATCCTTCACAGCGTACACCGTGGTGGTGGTCCTCTCATCCTCGCTCTCTTTCTTCAAATGACAAGCTGCTGCTCCCAAAACCTCCAGCTGGAACTTTCTGAAAATCTCATGCGTATAGACGAGATGCACCTGCTTCTCGAATGGTGATGGCGATTTCAACTCAGGGACCTCATGCCACGCATCAAAATCTGCTTTGGCTTCTTCCTCGTACATGTCTTCCAGAATCGCTTTATACTGTTCTACGAACTCATTCATCGATGTGTCTCCTTGCACATACTTGTCGAATTTAGAGTTCAAGCTCTCGGCTCGTGAGTATGCAGAGAGACTAGCAAAGGTCACATCTCTCATAAAAGTAGGCACCCACAATCGCCGATCTTCGTACAAAGACTGAAACCATTCCACCTCTCTGACATGAAACTTGTCAACCAATTTCCACCATCTCTTCTCGAACTGCTCCTCTGTCCATGATTTAAAAACACACTTATGAAACTTCACAGTGAAGGCATCATTCCACAGGCTGAAATACTCGAGCTGCCGGGGAACCTTCTCCAGGATGTAATAGAGACAAAAGCAATGTCGACTTCTCGGAAAGACTGCTGCAACTGCAGTCTTGACCTCATTACTCTGATCGGTGAGCATAACTCGAGGACCTCGATCCCCCATAGCCACTGACCAGGTCTGCATCAACCAAACGAAAGTATAGACCGTCTCATCAGCGATCAATCCACACCCAAGCAACGTCGGCTGAACATGATGATTCGATCCAACGAAAAGAACAAGAGGTATCCGATACTTGTTCGTGAAATAAGTGGTGTCCAGGCACACCACATCACCAAAGTTGTTGAAATCCTCCATTCCCTTGGCGTCGACCCAGAACAAGTTCCTCAGCTGTTGCTGCTGGTTCAAATCAACCGCATAGTAGAACTTCGGATTCTCTTCCTGCATCCGAGTAAACATCTCGAGCAGCACCTGAGCATCCCCAGATTCTAGCACCAAGCTCCTTCCTCTATCGTGCTGGCTCCTCATGTAGCCATCGAGACAGTCCAAATTCTGATACGCGCCAAACAATTTGGAGGACCCCGAGCCGCCACCGCCTACATTCCTCTTCCTACAAGCTCGAGAATCGCTGCCGTTGTCGATGGGATTCGCGGCGGTGGCACTGTTCTTATGGCTCCTGAAGAAGTGAGCTTGGGCGGGCAAGAGTTCGTGGTTGTGGTCTTTGACAAAGCTGTGAATGTACCATTTCCCATCCTGCCTCCTCTTCACGTGCATGCTCGCCTTGCAGCCGATCTTCGGAGACGGCCGAGGGTTGATCGCGTCGTCGGACTGCTGCTTGCTGCCGTACCTTATGCAGGAGAATTTGGCGTCGATGAATTCCTTGGACGCCCTGGACCTCCTGCTGCTCAATTTCGCCGTCCCGAACCCTACAGACTTCGCGTACTCTTTGTAGGAGGAGTACGCTTCGTCGTGAGAGTCGAATTCCATGTCCTCCCGTAGCTCGGAGGCTCCGCTGCTGGCGCTTTCGCGAAGATCCATTTCTTTCGCAGGGCGTAACTCTCAGCTCCAAAATCAGTTCATCACACCAATAACTCAATTCAAACGGAGAAGAACCAATTGCAAGGATGATTCAACCTAATCTATATTCGGGGAAAGCTCTCCTAGTCACATTTGTTCGCCGACGGAGTTACAGATGGAACGAGGAAACCAAAAGATGGAGGAATACGGCGATTAGATACCTGAAGAAATGAAAAATCTGGCGAATTGGGGATGAAGGGAGGAAACGTCGGTGGAAATGCCGGAGACGGACGGCGGAAGGAAAGGGGAGGGTGGTGGGGAATCGCCGTTAGGTTTTCCGGTCCGTCGTCGCGACTCGCGATGGAGGAGGAGGAAGTTTTTTCTCGCCTACTCGCTTGGTGGTATCTCACGTCTTCACGCGTCAGCTGGCGGGAGACACGTGGTGGAGTGAGGGATGTTTTTGTAATTTCGCGCGTTTTGCTCCCGGGAGATCTTGGGGACGACAATGCGAGTGGGATTGCACGTGGTGGGCAAGGACAAAAGTTTGATTAACCAAAGTTTTTTATTTTTATGACTGATTAACCAAAGTTGATTAATTGATTAATTAATCTCCTTTTAATGTATATATATGTTTTACTTTATCATTTCATTTTATTAAACTAGCTAGTCAATCAATAAAGAAGGAATGAATTGAGTATTGGAATCGAGATATTGTATCTAGTATTCCAAATAGTTATTATCTTGTATTCCAAATTAGCCTTTCCTTGGTAATTTGATAATGTCATTCTCGAAGGTCAGTTAGTTCAAATTCTGACTTCGTCCCGAGTTATCTAGCATATTTTCGACCAAGCCATCAGTTAGTGTTGTTGACTCCAAAACAGTTCGTTGGAGGTGGGATTTTGCTTTTGCCGTTATTAGAACGAGATTATGAAACCGGGCCTTAAATAGAAACGGCAAGAAAAAGTGGGGATAGTAAAACGAAAACGACCACACGGGGAAAAAAGAGCAACAATTGCCCAAGTAACGAGAAGGAAAAGGATATATGCTACGCGCCTACGCTACGTTGAGCTGGACCGCACGACTATGGGCTTTTGGCTTGGATTAGACTACTCTGGAAAATAGAAGGGAATAATGTACAGTAGATGCCCATATTCAGTCATGGACTTTTGTTTGAGTGGGCTGGGTTATAAAGTGTCCAAACATCCTTTTCCGGATAGGAAAAAAAAAAAACAAAACAAATTTAAGCAAGGGCAAAAATTCTAGCTATTTGGATTTTGGATGAGTTGATTTCTACTTGTCGTGATAATGATCTTATTTAATTGAATCTTTTATTCATAAATTGTAAGGAATGATGATAAAGGTGAATCTTTTGTTTGTTCTTGTTTTCAATGTTAAGGTTAGCAATGACATTGGTTGAGATGACAACTCAGGTCGACATCTCAATTTCTATGTACATCAAGTATGATTTTTGTGAAACACAAGATCACACAGTAATATATCTATTATAAGTGACAAAAGTGAACTTAAGTAATATTGAACACAAAGCAGATTCTATGAGAAATAATGAATGACATTAAAGGTTTTGGGTTCGCGTTTTAACTTTTCCTCCATGATACACCCAGCTTCTCCCTTGACAAAGACAAGTCGTTGATGTACAACTAGATCAAAATCCATAACAAGATGTCCCTAGCACTTCTTCTTCCACAACAAGATGCTCTTAGTGGTTTAACAAGATACTTACTAGTTCTTAACATTTGACTTCCAAATTCAACCAAAAGAAAGGGACTTCAAATGCTTCCTCCCCTCCTTAATTTTGTCATTATTCAAATCGATCATTACAAGTGGAACCCTAAAAGAATTAGTACTTCCCACTTTCCCCACCCATTTTCACCCGACAAGAAAAAAAATGGAAAGCAACACACCATGAACAGCAAAAGGTTGGGGGGAGGTGGAATGGAATGATGAATGACTGCGCACCAACAAAGTCACAAATGCTTACAAGATTTTGATGCCAAATTAAGTAAAAAAAATTGATGGGTTTGTTTCGAGGCTCAGTTTTGGGAAAGAATCTATTCGAGTTGAGAGTAAACCTTCTCCAAAGCAAAGTGAAAGAAAGCTCAATAAGGAATTACATGAATATAGATAGGCCTTTCCACCTCATGAGTCATGACCCATAATATGTACCCTCGTGAAGGCTGCTGGCTAGGGAGAATTCAACAGTGGTGGGCTATTTGCATGGTCCGTGAAACCTTACCGGATATCGTACCGGAAAAGTCAGTGATATGATATTTTATGATAAAACCGTGATTTAATTATAGTTTAACCGTTAGACAGGCATCAATATAATAAAATTCTTTCCCCCACCACAACCACATTATTTTCTGTTGTGCCAAAAAAATCCCACACCACACCTTCAAAGTCATCGCCTCTTGATGATCGATCATTTAAATCTATTTTTAGTTTTCTCCCCATAATCGCTAGCTGCAACTACCCCGTTGACCATTCTCTCTCTCTCTCTCTCTCTCTCTCTCTCTCTCTCTAAGCCCATGCATTAAGAATAGGGATGGCAATCAAACCCATGGCCGCGGGTACCCGACCGCCCCATACCCAGTCAACGCTGGGAATCCCCGCTTTGACCGGGTATGGGGCGGGTATGGGTAAAACCCGCAAAAGGTTTGATGGGTAAGGGGCGGGTATGGTTTTAGCCTCCCCCGCCCCATACCCATACCCATACCCGCCCCACCAAGAGAATTTCTTCACATATCAAAAAATACGTGGATTAAATTGTAATCTATCAATGATGATGATGATAACTCGAGAAAATAAATAGTAGAAATGCAATTGAGTAACCACCTTAATCAAAACCTAATTCATTTCCCTCAATTCTCCTTCCACTCTTTCATTTCCCCCTTGTCAACAAAATTATGTTAGTTAATTATTACTTAATAAATGTATCAAGAGTTAGAGCATAATAATTTAAAAAATATTTTAGTCTATATTATGTATTAATGGATGTTTTAGGATCATATTTTTTGAATCGTATTTAGAAAATGACCATGTTTTGTTGACTTCGTGATATAATAGGTTTGTTTATGGTTATAATTAAAACTTTTCTTGTAAGTTTTAGGTATAATAATGTTGGATGTACGGGGATGGGTATTACCCATGGGTACCCGAAACCCACGGGTATGGGGATGGGTTTGCAAAATATTCCCCCGCATGGGTATGGGGCGGGTATGGGTTTGGGTATTTGAAGATGGGGATGGGGATGGTTTAGGCAAACCCGCCCCAAACCCGCCCCATTGCCATCCCTAATTAAGAATCCAAGTTTTCCATGGAAAGAATCATACGTACGTATAGAAGATTTCTTTAAGGTCTAAAGCATCGGGGGAACTCGTTAAGGTTTATTATCTTTCAGTTTACATTTACCTCAATTCGAAATTTTATATAGGGTGATGAAGTCTACAAGAGAGAAACAAATTTGACGGGGAATAAAAAGGAAAATAGTTAAGTTCCTTTTAAAAAAAAGAAGAGCTTAGTATTTCTGACCGTTAAGGACGGAATTTATATATTAGAATTCGACTAACCTATACAACCAGATTTCCAACTCAACAATATACAATATACATATAATTTATTTAACAGGCTCGATCAACTGTAAATCGGAAAGTAACCCGTTTCCCTCAACATAGTGCATCAACAAGGATGGATTGTTATGAATGATAAAAAGTCGGGTCATTTTGAGACGATAAAATAAAATGTGCACAATCGCGAAATGAATACGGCTAAGTCTCGTATTTTCTATCATCGTTTAATCACGGATACAATAACCTACCGATTCGATTGAATTGGATTCCATACCAAATAATCATCTTTCTTTGGAGTTTTTTTTTTTTTTGTTGTATATAGGATCTTTTGTTGGAGATTTTATTCTAGTACTTCTCCACAACTTTTTGTCAAACTCGAACTTTTTTAGTTTTTTTTTTTAAATTGTCATCTTAAAGTGGAATAATGGGTAGCTGGCCCAACCAGGGCTCGACGACTGGTTCATTCCAAGTGTTTTCTGTTGCCTTGACGAATTCCCGTTCCCAATCCCATCCCAACCATAACCAATGGAATTGGACCGATTATTCCCGAGTCAAACAAAAGGGCAAAAATAGAAAGAAAAAAATAATAAGGAAGATAACCCCAAATTAGGAGGAAAGCGACGTCGTTGGCATCAGCAATAGTTACAAAACGGTCCATAATTGCAAAAGGTAGGGATGGCAATTTCGACCTGACCCGATTTACCCGACCTGTTTGACCTGTTTTGGGGCGGGTCAAACCCGCTCCGTAGGCGGGGCAGGGCGGGTATGGGTACCTCTCATCGACCCGACCTGCCCTGACCCGCCCCATTCTCGACCCGTTCTTGCCTAAATTACATATAATCTTAGTTAAATTACATAAGATTTTCCTCTTATTACATTATATTTTAGCTATAATAAAGTTGTAAATAAGTAAAAACCTCAATTTCTTCAATAATTTAATTACATTTTATCATATTATGGTTTCTTTCTTGGTCTTTCAATGAAAAGAACGAATATTTCTAATACTTTTCACATAAATTACATACCCAATGGGTCGACCTGCCCCGACCCGCGCCCCGTGATAAATTACCCGATCTGGACCCGACCTGCCATGGGGCGGGTATGGGTATCGAGATACCCGCCCCGGACCTGCCCCATTGCCATTCCTAGCAAAAGGGAAAGGGGAAGTGGCCAGTGGGCCACAATCTTGTCACATGTTAAGAAACGGCGTCACGCTTTTTTTTTTAAAAGGGATGGTCAGGATTAGCCATCGAGATTTTGTAATAATCATAACATTAATTAATGATAACATGTGTTTTATTAAAAGGTAAAATTATGTGATCTAATGATGTCTCGGTGAGCTAAATGGGACAACTGCGTTTGGTTGTATTGTATTATATATAGCAACAATGGTTAAAAAAAAATTCACTCTAGCTAGCTAGTGAGGTAGGGTTAAACCCATTAAACAAAATAAGTTAAGTAAATATACAACTAATAGTATGTTTTAAAAATATATATTGATTTGGGTAGTAGTGCTTATGCACTCACAGGCAACAATTTTTCCATTTCAATTTTCTACTAGTATCAAGTATTGAATATTGTTTCTCCCATATCTTGAATTGCATTGGGTTCGAATCCTTATTATTGTAGATGAATTGTCAAACACACCCACCAACCCACGCACTCTCGCTAACTTCTCTTGCTCTTGGACCACACACCCACTAAATTTGGTTACATTTGAAACCGGTAATGAAATAAAAGCGAAACCAATTCATTATAAATTATGAGTAGTGACACGAAATAGTCTCTAGAAGATAGAAAAGTGTGAATCTTTACTGGTAGTAGTTGTAGTCCACGTTAGGAGTGTCTAATTGGTCCCAAACTCAAACCAAGATTAGTACCCACATTAATATGACATTGTTCTTAATTAATCTCTTCCACCACCAAGCTTTAAGTGCCTTCAATTTTTAATGTTGTCACACGTGTCTCACTTTTAGTGGGAAACAAAATTTTATGTGAATTCTTAAAGCGTACGTGTCATATATATATATATAAAATATAGGGCAAAATAACTCAAATAGAGTATGTACATATGTCCAAGTTTCCGTGAACCCCAAAAAATTTGGGCACTTAGATGATGGAGCAAGCATAATGTTAAGCAATGTGTGGGGTTGGTGGGTGGGAGGATGGTTAGAAACATATTTTATTTATGTGTGCACCTCACCTCACCACATCTTATTTTCTTTGATTATATTGGATTACAAGAATCTTGTACCAATGAACAAAATCTTTCTGTTTCAAATGGTTTATAATTGAGTTGTTCAAATATGACAAAATAAGTATTATCTGTCGAGAAAATTTTGAGTTGATCGAATAATAAAGTTATAACCATGCAAATTGCGAAAGTGATGTTATGATATTCGAGATCATTATATCAATAACTAATTTGTTGGTGCAGTCGGCACCATCCACAATTGCATGCATCAAAGGTGTACTGTTAGTAAAGTTGATATGTAATGTTGATACTTCTTACTCGTATATCTTGGTTAGTGTCACACATATGGTTTGTGGACATTAACGCTGAAACTTATTCGATAGCTACTAGTTATGGATTCACGACATGTTACCTTTTATGGAAGAGTGAATCCACATTCGTCCTTGATTTGATCAATATTTATTTTCTTAAGTTCATGCCTTGTCTTATAATCATACGGTTGAACTTGTATGATTATTCAAGTGCAATTACATGCTTTTACTTTACCATTGATTTAAAATTTGAGGACACCTTTTAGTAGTTAAAACTGCAAGAAACATAAATAATAATAATAAGAATTTGTCAGATTTTGGCGTGCAATCTGGATTTTCTTGCCGTTAATAAGTCAAAAGATAATTACATGTTAATCATCCTTGATTAGTGGCTCTTCATGTGGAGGTTGTGCTCCGTGAGAGCTACTATACCATAAAATACCAAAAAAGGAAATACACCAAATCCATCTCGACCAATGGTCTGGTCCCCTCACTTACTTTCAAATCACTAGTACTGTGTGTAACTACAAACGTAAAATTTTGGAGAGCCATGGAGTTAGGTTGAATTAAGCATCGAAACATCGATAAAATTACATGTAAAATTGGTAATAAATTTTGAAAATAAAGTAGTCTGTAGGACATTAGTCCCGTTTCCAATTACTACAGTTCAAATTAGGTTTTCTCATTCAGGTTTCTGCTTCCGCTACCGGTCTTAGATGTAAAGAAAAGCTATAGACCTAGCCTAAGAAAGATCCAACAAGGTAGTTTATTTATTGTGACTTGCATTTTTAGTCCGAGATAAATGTCATAAATCGCTTGATATCAATAAATCAAGTTACTCCGAGACAAATTAGTTGAATAATGTCTATATGAATTCTCAATAGCCATTGTCTAGTTACTATTGTAATCATCAATTGGCGAGTCAATCGTCCATTGTGAATGATTGTACAATCTCATCTAAAAGCTGAGATTGTTGAGATTGTCTAGTTGAGATTGTTTTTTTTTTCCAACTTTAACTTTTAGAAATTATCTTTTGCATTGAAAAGAAAGGGTACAAGTGACATCTTCGTTAAAAAGTGAGTTTCTTTTTTATCTATTGAAAACAAAAACACAGATACCAAATGATGTAATCTAAAATAAAGTAAATTCAATAATACATATATAATATAATGGCAAAGGCTAACGTACGTTGTACGCCTGCGTTCACACTTGGTTTTTGTACTTCAATATATTTCGTTGAATCAAAACCGTCAGTTATTATTTTTTAGATTAAATGAATCTTGTGGCTTGGATTAGAGAATTAGGGACTGAGGTTCACCCGTTAGAGGTTAGGGTATAGTATCATGCCCCAAACTCCGATTAATTCGTGCTCTAAATAGTAAAACTCAACGGGCGTACAATGTATGACTGACATACGCTTATACATATATTGATCACAATACACCGATTTAACAATCGAAGAAACCAAACGACCCCTTAAATAAAATATAGGGTAGGGAAAAGGGTTGCTTGCCGCAGAGAAAAGGACAGTACGGTCAGCTCGTTTAACCGGGTCGGGGCCCACCTGATTAATCAAACCAAACAAAAACAAGCTTATGGTTCGTTCCACAAATAGGAGTGAACCCATGTTTTGCCCATCTTTATGGTTTCCGGGTTTGCGGGGCCATTAGATAATCCGGCAACGTTGCACCGCCGGAGCCCCACATTTCCCCTTACCCGGTGCGGTTCATCATTGATCGTGGGTAGAGTGGAGAACAATTCGGTTTGGTCCTTTTCAAATTGGACCAAATTGATTTTAGAATTGACTCGGATTGAATATATTTTTGTTTGATGTTGATACAAATTATCTTAATATGAAGAAAAGTTAATCAAAATTGAATTTCGATCGAATCTAATCAAATCAATGAACCATATATGTTTTTTATTCAGTTCTGATTCTCAATTTTCTTTCGGTTTTGAATCGGTTCTATCTCGATACAATCCGATTCGGGATCAAATTCATCGATGCCAACCCTTAATGGTGGTAGTTCATTTTGGCACATTTAGGATTGTTGTGCTTTATGTGTGTGTGGGAATTGTTGTGCTATTTCATTTAATCTTTGTGATGGAGTATGTATTTGTTTAATTGGACCTTGTCATGCACGCCGCATAGGTTGTTTGGGGTCATAAAAACTAGAACCACACCAAAGATAAAGTTGTTTATGCTTGACAATTTGTAAGATTTTGTTTGAATTAAACAAAATTTATTTTGTGAAAACTTGGGAGTTTTTTTTATGGATTGAACAAGAGGTTAGAAACTGTTACTAGAGGCAAAATCAGAAGGGTAAATACAATATATTATCCATAACTATTAAGTAACGGGGAATTATAGCCACAACTATCGAAATACAAATTATTAGCCATAACTATTGTTGTGGGTCAAGATTTGGCTAACAGTCCGTTACTGTTTTCAAATTTTTAACGTAGAATGCCATGTTAGCATCGTAAAAAATATGATATGATGACTGCCACGTGGGAGCCAGCTCACCATCGTAAAAGTTTAGTCATCATTACTAACAGAAGTGTTAACGAAAACTTAACGATTGGCTAATAATTTGTATTTCGATAGTTGTGGCTATAATTCCCCGATGCTTAATAGTTATGGCTAATATATTGTATTTGCCCAAATCAGAAATTTGAATGAGAAGTGGTAAATGTATAAGCTTAAGATATTTGAATAGTGATAATTATGAGAATGAGAGGAGGGTTAAAGCATTAACAACTACTCTATTTTTTTAAATCTAACAACAAACTTTACTTATAATTTTACACATATTTCAAAGTTGAGGGATTGAGATTATAGCGCCTTGTACCTTCAACTAAACTCAACCATTGCCCTTGGTGATGAAGCTAGGCTTGTTATGGCACACCAACATCGCATCTAAGATAAAGCGGAGGGTTGACATGGTTGAGGCCTAAGTCATGCAGATGATTTGGAATTGGTTGGGGAAACTAGGGTCAAGCTTTTCGAGGTGGTCAAACTGGCCTATGAACTTCGATCTTGAGTGCAAAAGTGTAGGAATAGGGCAATTTTACTTAAAAAAAACTATGGTTTATACGAAGCAGTTGATACTGATGTGATAATCTTTTTATGATAGGGTATTATTCATAAGTTTGTTCATTCTTAATAAGTTGAGGTGTCAAAACTCACTCATACTTTGCTCATTCTTGTCGAGTATGAGGTTATCGAGAGTCGAGACTACTCTAAAGATTTGAGTTCTGTTATATTTCATTCTTTTTCTATCTGTTTGTACGTTAGATTTCACTACTAAAAAAATCTCGTGAATTCGATGTCTAAAAGAAAAATAAATGAAGAACAAAAGACTTTTTTGTCATTCTTTGATAATTAAACCCTTCAATGTAAGGCCATCAAAGTCATTGACCAAACACCCCCTAAGGACCGGACCCTCTCCCCCTTCCCTCTTCTTCCCTCTCTATGCTGCTATCTTCATCTGATTCCCCTCTGCTATCTTCATCTGATTCCCCTCTGCTTCTTCTTCCTTCTCCTCTGCTTACTTCACAAGTTCACTTCCCATTAGCGGCTCTCAGCAACAAAATCATTAATTTTCATTATCCCCTCCATTCTTTACTCCCTTTTTCTTTTGTTTTATTCTATTTTTCTTCACAAACTCCATCTATTCTCTTCCTCTGTTTTCTTTTCCCCCTTCCCTGTAGACTCCCTCTGCCTCTCTCTCCTTCCACCTGCCTCTTATCACCACACGAGTAACTCACTAGAGAAGCCATTAACAGCGAAACACAGAGAAAAAGAGGGGGCAAAAGGGAACAAAAAGAACAGGGAAATAGATTTAAAAAAAAAAAACAGAGGGATGATTCTTCATCGCCATACCTCGACCTCTGCTTCTTTGTCTTCCTCCCTTCATCGCTCAACTTCACAGATTCAACTCCTCAGCAAATTTCCTGCTCCGTTTTCTTGGATCTGATTGAGAAAGTAGAGAAAGTAGAAGAAAAGTCTGCAGCTTTTTTGAAGTTTTTTTTTATCCTTTTTTTATTCTTTATTCCTCTGTTTCCGATGGAGTCAGATCTTCAGCATCTTCACCACCAGCAGCAATCGAACCAGAAGCAAATGAATTCCGGCGGAGGTGGACTGACGAGGTACCAATCGGCTCCGAGCTCCTACTTCACCAGCTACCTGGAAAAAGAGCTCTGCGACGAGCTCTTGAACCGTCCTTCCAGCCCGGAAACAGAGAGGTTCTTCGCCAGATTTTTAGCCAACACCGCCAGCTCCGACGGGTTGCAACCCGACCCGGTGCTCGCCCCGGTTAAGCAAGGCTCTCCCCCTTTACAACAAGGGATGGATGATTACTCTTCCGGGCCGCAGAGTTTCTACTCGCCGCCTCCGCCTCCGCCGCCAAGCAGCCAGTCTCGCCCGCCATTGCCGTCCGCTCCGGCCATGGATTACAGCCGCTTGCCTCCGACTCCGCCACCACCATCATCGAAATCTGGCGGTGGGAACAACTCGTCGAATCTCGTCAGGCACAGCAGCTCCCCTGCTGGGCTTTTCTCCAATATCAACATTGAGTTCGAAAATGGTATCTTTCTCTCAGCATTCAATTCTTCTGTCTACCCTTTTTAGTACTCCCTCCCAAGGTTTCATCTTTGGTCTTATTTCTAAGAAAGGAAGGGTCTTTGTTATGTGGCGAGGGGAGAAATTTGTTTTGGAAGGGGCAAAAAGTTTGAGTCTTTGCTTGAATGTTTTGATTTTGTGGTGCCTGTTTGTAGTAAAGTTTTTGAGGGTTTCTGTTTGGTCTCTAATGAAATTAAAGGAAGGAGTGTCTATAATCAAGTGAGCAACTTGTTGGGTTCTTATTAATTGACACTTCCAAATATTTTCTCTCTTCCTAAACTTATAAACAATCATTTGAACTTAACCCAAGTGGGAGGGGAATTTTATTTGTTTGCATCTCTTCCTCACAACCCTTTTGAGGTACAAGATTGTACCATGTAACTAAGATGTTTTTTCCACCAACTTATGAATTAATTAACCCCCACTTGCCAAATACCTCTGATCCTATCATTGGTCATGGAAGACACTCTTTTGATTTGCTGATAGTTCCTTTCCTCGTACCATGAATCTGGATATCGAACCGATGAGACTAACAATGTCGTGCTTTGGTTGTGATCTTCGACGAATGCCAGGGTATGCTGTGATTAGAGGGATGGGAGATTTTGTTGGGAATAGGGAGTCTTCAGGGAGGATGAGTCCAATAGCTGAGATTGATACCAAGGACAACATTATTGAAGCCATTAACAGTAGTAGAGCAGAGAGCTCGTCGGATTTCGGGGAAGCTCATCATCCTGGAAACTATGTTGGTACTACTACTGGGTTCCCCATGGATTCTTGGGATGATTCTGGGATCATGAAGGGTGGGCTCTCTGAGGATGACAGAACTTTCTCTGGTCTCAACGATTCTCAGGTTGGTTTTTGTATAGAAAGCTGCTCCATTTTCCTTGTATAGGGTGTTTCTCACTTCAGTAAGAGTTTCACATCAAATTGATGCTACTAACATGCATGCTACAACTTGGTGTGTGTTTCCCCCCTATGTTTTCCTTCTTAAGGTGATTTGAATCCACTTCCTTCTTGGAGATGCAATGATGATATAGTGATTTACTGTCTTTTCTTGTGTGGGAACAGATTGAGGAGGGAGGAGGGAACCGTCCACCAATGTTGGCACATCACTTGAGCCTGCCCAAAACGGCGGCAGAGATGTCGGCTCTGGAGAAGCTGCTGCATCTTCAAGATTCCGTGCCTTGCAAGATTCGAGCCAAGCGAGGTTGCGCCACTCATCCAAGAAGCATCGCTGAGAGGGTATGGAAACCCCCCCACCAGGCTTTACAACAGATGAAACACAGTAGTGTCTCTTGTGTTTTCAGCACAAACTTCTTTGTAGTGTTAGAGCTTAGAAGTCACCTTGTTGTTTCTTTCGTTGTCTTCTGCATTTCGATTCGATTGGATCAATGACCATGATCTGGAAATTCGTGGAAATACAGGTGAGAAGAACTCGAATCAGCGAACGAATGAGGAAGTTGCAAGACTTGGTGCCAAACATGGACAAGGTACCCTATCATTCCATCGTCATTTTTCTTAATACGAGAGTTAGGGATGAACAACGATTCAGTTCGTCCTACAATTGTATCTGACTTTTGTGTTCCCACATTCTTGCAGCAAACCAATACGGCAGACATGCTAGATTTGGCCGTTGACTATATCAAAGATCTCCAAACACAAGTAAAGGTAAACAACATGATGTCCTTATCATTACCAAACCTAACTAGGAAAATCTTGGTCCATTCCCATTCTGAGGCTTTCTGGGTTGATTTCTACACAGGTAATGGCAGATTCTCGAGCCAAATGTACGTGTACAAGTATGCATCAGTCATAGCAGAAAAAAGACCCTAAACAGAAAGGGATCAGCTTCAATTTCCTGGCTAAGCCATATATATGTATACAATTAATAAGAATTGTCTGCCTTCTACCCATGAAAATTCGAACAGAAAGAAAGGGTTTTGACTTTTGATGATAGAAAGAAGCAGATTAGTAAAAGCTATAGCAGGAGCTTTGGTATATTTTTATGCTGTGAAAAAGGGTAATATTCAAGGCAGAAAGTAGAAGATGAACAGAAGTTGTACAGTGATTAGCTTGGCCTGTTGTAGACTTGTTAGTGTTCCTGTGACATAATTATAGTTATCATCATTCCCTTTTCCATTTCCCACTTAGATTTTGGAGCATGGAAAGAAGCTTATGCCTCCAAATTATGTGATTCTTGTAAGAATGCATAGGGCTAAGATTATGATGAAGATTAACTGAGAGTCGAATGGATCATCTCAAAGTTATCATATTGATGGTAATGTTGCTAGGTTAATGATCTGGTGGTTCTGATTTAAACGTTATGCTTGCAACCCTTTATGTCCTTTCCAACTTTGTGTGATGGATAGGGAAAAAGGTTTGATCTTTCCATAGTTTCTTGGCATTCGTTTTGGTGTTGATACAAAATAGGGAGAAAAAAAAAAAAAAAAGGAGTGTGGAAAGGGTAATGTGAAGCTTTAAAGGTTTGTGGATGAGGGACTAACTTTTTAATTTATTTTTCTTTTGGTTTCAATAATAACTGGGAAATTGACAGGAGAGAAATTAGTGTCCACTACTTTATCAACAATAATTTGGTTCAAATGACGACTACTTGATACAAAAAGGAGATATTCCAAGCACAAAATAATCTTTGGTTGGGGTGCTTGGTTGACTTTTTATCAATTTTGTTATTTCAATTCGATTTGACATTTTCATAAATTCATTGTTTGAAATTTTCATAAATTCATTGCTGCGACTGCGTTGATTTAAGAGAAAATAAACATAACACTCCATGTCATACAAATTGTGGTTGTATCAATCATACCATCTAATTTGGTAACTCAACTATTTAATTTATGTTTACTAACCCTTGTTCATCATAGTGTGTATTCATGTGATTTAGAAATACGTTTTTTGAGTTATTAGATATTGAAAATATCTCGCTATTTATCCGTAATGACTATAAATTTTGCTTTCAAACTTTTTATGCCTTTATAACTCTACAATACTTCATCACCACCCTATTACCAATGAGTCTATCTCTGATTTACATATTGACTATCATATTCCCTAAACATTATTGGATGTGGGGAAGAATGCAGCGACGACATAGTAACGAGAGGGTAGTATAGTTAGATAGACTATCAATTTATTTGATTAATCCACTTAAATTGAATGATATAACAACTGAGTAATTAATAAAGTTCCCATATTATGATAAACAAAATAGGATAATGTATATTTTTTTTTATCGAAATCTTTTTCAGATTCTTTTATATTATCCAAACCTATCGAAATACTAAGAATTAACCAAATGTTAACTTTCATTTAGCACTTTTGTTAGTAATATTGATTTTGCAACCTGATACTAGCTTGGAAGAGACACATGAAGGTCAACATTCCAAAATTTTAGTATTTTAACTAAGAAAATAGTTACAAATTATTAACGATTAACATAAAAATGGCTAATATTTTGATGCATTACAAAAAAGTAGGCTAATTAATATCATTTTAAAAGCTTTGAATAATATAAAAGAATCCCAAAAATATTTGAATGAAAAGAACACATTACCCAACAAAATACATAAACATTATTGAAGGTACACAAGTAACCTAACACAACACAACTTTTAAATCGATTTGATGTTTACTTGAAAGTTTATCGGATTTGAAAAAAGAATGAATGAGCTCCACAAGTTTTTTTTTTTTTTTTATTTCTTTGGCTATCACTTTTAGTAGGGTCGATGTCATAGAATTTTGTAAAGAGTATCATAAATCTTTCTATGCCAAATTTGGGCCTGACTTTTGTCTTTTCTACCTTCCTCTCTCTCTCTCTCAAATAACTCTCAATTCGTTTACTACATGACTTGATGGAGAAAGGCAGGGATATACCTATACGTTTAAGCTAAGCCTAGCTACCTCTAACATCCTAACATTCTTATCTTCAACGTATGATCTCCACTACCTATGTCTCCTTTTTCCATTGCATCACTCAAAGATGTAGTAGTAATATGCAATCAAGGGGTTTCGCATTTTACATGGTGTAGTCATGTTCACCAGCAATGCTGATAGAAACCGTCGATCTAGGGACTAGGGCATCTCGGGTTGGATTTGATGATTGAGAACGAGATTAAATAGTGAAAATCCAGGGATATTGAAAATTGGATTTGGGGAAGAACATAATTAGTGATTAGAATAAGAATTTAGGATTATGGATTTACAAAATGAGAACGAGGTTGAGACTTGAGAAGAGAAGAATGGTCGGTCGCCGTAGAGAGAGAGAGGATACTTTTCGTATTAGTTTTGTTGATTGATTCCGAATGAAAACCTGAAGCACATACTTAAAGGGAAAGACTGAAAAAACCTAATAATAATAATCCTGATTAAACTTGAATACTAATAATTATCTGAATAATAATGATGGAAACCGGGTATGAAGACCGGGTTTTTATCAAATGCTAGCTCTTGTTTTCAAACTAGATATGGTGCTACCAACGGGTTGGAGTCGTTGGATCCGACGCAGACAATTAGAAACCTTTGAAGAGCAAATGACAACACGTCACAACCGTTCAGATCAACGATTCGAACAGATAATAGCTCATGCTCCATTCGCTACAACTCACTAGACGTCGAATTCAAGAAGAGCTCTCTCGTCTCAAACTCAAACTAGGAAAGTGCAAACGAGAAATCCAAACCCTACCATTACACATCTTATCATTTGCATGTGCATGGGACTTCACTACCATGCATTAACCCCACAATCTGAAAGTAAAAAAAAAAATGAATGATTATCGATCCATGACAGTGAATCTATTCACAAGTGCTTACTTGTTGCAATGGCATTAAAGATAGCTCTTTTTCTTCTTCTTCTTCTTCTTCTTCTTTTATGGCCGTCTTTAGGGCAGTGGTTCCAAAGGGCAGGCATTTAAGACCTTCTCCTGTCCTTGTTTTTTATGCGAAGGTGTCCAAAATGGGGCTTCGGCCGACGTAAACAGTGGCCACACGATTCTTGGTCGGAGGCAGGAATCAATCACGAGTTTTGGTTACTAAAAAGTGCACGACACTCACAGCTGGATCCCAAATGGTAACAAAAAGTCCCCATCGTTGGGCCCAGCCCAAGTCCATTTACGCGAAGCAAAGTGAGTGCCACGTCACAAGTGACCTCATCATCCTTTTGGGACGTATTTCATTTTTGCTTTGCCAAACATTAATGAGATGAGTCAAAGGCCCAAGGGAGAAACCTGTTTTTTTTTACGGTATTGGGCCTACAATTCCGAATGTCTAACTCAGGATCGACATTGTCCGGCCTGTTTTTGGCCCGTTTCGTGGCCTGAAGCCTTGGCCCAATGCTGCGTACCAAAGTGGGGAAAATTGATGCCTTTTTCCTCCCCAGTCTCGAGTCTCGACACACGAGAAAGAACAAGGCCAGTCGGACAAAACTCACGACTGGTTGAGAACGGCGGTTGTCGTCGAGTTCCCCGCAATCCCCTTCTCCATCAATGGCTTTCCCTCTCAAAATTCAAACCCCACTCCCCCAAAATTTGAATCTTTTACACACAAAACAACAAACCCACCACAACGCTCACAAGGAAAACGCTTCGCCATTTCCCAGTGAAGTGAAATAACAGAGCTCAGTCAGTCAAAAGAGAGAATCAAGATCCAACCTTTCAAATAATGGAAACGAATTCAATGCTCCTTTCCATAACCAGCAACCAAGACAATCTTCAATAGAAATCGAATCTCCAACCCCATTTTCCTTCTTTCTCTCCGTCGATTTCCTCACAATGGAAGAAGAAGGGTCCGCCGATTTCTCCGGCGGGCCTCCACTGGTCTCCCTCTCCTCTTTTCCTCCGGCCAGCCGCCGGTGCCGCCTCTCGTCGTGCTGCTACAACTTCGCCCCCGTCGCCTCGTGTGGGACAATGGCGTGGCTGTCGCTTCAGGGACGGATGGTTAACGCGGAGGAAGCCAGCTCGTCGAAATCAATTGGTTTATTGGGGAAGGAGGAAGCCCTGGCGTGGGAGCTGTTCACGCCGATGCAGAGGTTTCTCATTGTCGCCGTGATCGGAGTTGCTGCTTCCGAGTCGAGGAAGAATCGGACCATCTCGCAGCTCAAGAAATCTGTTGAGCTTAGGGTCAGTGTCTTTCTCTCTAGTTTCCCTATTTATTCCTCGCGTTGTTTCGTCCTTTAGGATTTCTAGGGATTATGTTACGGCAGAATCTGAATCACAATTGAATCACTGATTGTAGAAGGAAACATTAATGTTGAATTTTTTTATGGAGGATTGATTTGTGGGGGGAGATTTTTCTGTGATTGCAGGATGAGTTGCTGTCGGGTATGCAGCAGAAGCTGGACAGTCTGTGTTTGCAAATGGCTAGCATAAACGTGGATGGAAACAAGGATGATGGGGAAGAAGAGTTTCTAAGCAGTATGGGTTTCGTCGATTGCGGCTGCTGGCATTGTGATCAACACCACCAAGAGCTCTTTGGTGGTGGTACCTTGGTGAGGAGAGGAGTTGTTTTTGCAACTATGGATGATTGTGAGTTGCATTTTGTAGTTGATTGTTTTCTGCTTTTGTGATGTTTGATGTGGGAAATTTTGGTTCATTAGGGTCTGAAGGGTGGGAAAGCTCGTGGAGGGGATGAGGTGGTGGAGTTGAAAAGGCCATTGTTGGACCAGGATGAGCAAGAAGAGCGGCGGATGTCTGATTTGTCTGATTGGGCGTCCAGTTCTGCATCTGGATCAGAATTTCAGGTAAATAAGTGGAATGAAGAATGCTCACAGTTTGGGGGGAAGTTTAAGACTTTGCTTGAAATAGATGAATCTTTTGTTGGTCTTTATGGAATCCTTGGGGAGAAAGTTGTAGAATTCTAAACAACCGTATTTGGGGAATCTGGTCACAAGTAGTGGTAGTAGTTGCATGGAGTGTATTTCATTGGACAAGTAGATTAGTGTTCTGGTTCTGAGCATCCATTACAGCAGCAAGTCGATCAGAATTGATTGTGCTTCTGGTTATTGAATTGAGGCTTCTCCTTTTCCAGATCAGCAACTTTATGGTAGACCAAGATACTTGCAATCTCAAGAAGATATGTGAAGAGAAGGATGCAACCATCAAGGAGCTAAAAGATGTTCTTCAGTTGACAGACAAGGCAGGTTCAAAGGTGATAGCTTTACTTACCCTTCTTCACCCAAGCATGGCAAAACAAAACCCATTTCCCAGCTGATTGAGCTCCACATGTTTTCCCTTTTCTTACCCTTATCAGAGAATATCAGAACTGGAAGACATTATATGTAGGAAGAACGCCATGATCACAAGACTCAAGAAGGACATGGTGGTACTAGAACAGAAGGTGGTAACTTTTACTTGATAAAGCTCAACAAAATCCTTAAGATTCCACTGACAAGGAAGCATACACCAAATTGTTGTAAAATCTGAAAACCCTTTTGCCACAGGTGGTTCAGCTGACAAGGGTCCGCAGGAAATCAACCTCTCATCTCGCCCCCGAGTTTGAGCAATCATCCCCTTTCATGGTGGACAACATAGTCTATGACATGGACAGCTTAACCAGCTCTTCTTCTTCCTCCTCGGATTCAGATTCTCCAACAACCCACCGTCTCATTCCTCCTCCACAGACGACATGCCAGAAATCAGCTCCAGGCAGGGTCTCAAGCACTCCACCAGCCATGGCCAGATCAGTAAGCCCTCTCAGAGAACTGTCAATGAATCAAAAGTATGGCAGACCTTCCTCATCGAAGTCAAAACAGTTGTCTGCTAATGGTGATATCAAGAAGACGAGAAGAAGGCCACCAACTCAAGCTGCTTCCAATTCCATTCAGAAGAAGAGATGGTCCTAGTTGGTAAAAACTATGGTTGTTTGTTTTAGGTGATGTAGATTCAGGACAGTGAAAACTTTTGAGTCAATGACAGTTAATCCATTGTAGGATCACAGCTGTGGTAAAAAAAAGAAGCATCTTGTGAGAGTTACTGATCTTATAAGAAGTGTTTTGGAGTAGTGGCGGCTGGTATGAATTTACATTTACCTCTCTTTGACTGATGGATTGGCGACTCCCTGGTCTATCGCTCATCCAAAGGTCATACGATGACGTTTTTGGTAGCGGTGTAAACTTCCAACATCATTGGGCGTTGCTTCGGTGTATGCCGGCATTCCCTTTGGCGATCTAGTCAACCATCATACTATAGATTGGCCCCAATGTTTGAATTTTCTAAATGAATGTAGCATTTTAGTTTTTACCCTTATTAATTGCTTGAAGAGTTTGGCTGTGTATTACGATGTATATGGAATGTATAAGAAATACTATGGGTAAAATTGGTGGAAGGTTTGAGTTTTGTCAAAATAATAATTGTGACACGAGCTTGTGGTGAACATATAACAGGTTCATACTTGACATTCTATCTGCATTGTCTATAATTGTACCAAATATCGCAGGTTAGTACATGAGTCTATGATTGCGTGGTCTCACGCATGATCTAATACATAAGTGAGATATTCGATAATGAAGTAATTTTTGTGCTTAACTGATGAAGTTTGATGCAATATTTCTCATTGATGAACTATATAATTATCATTTGGAGAGTGGAGACTCAAACATCATGCTAAAAACTTGCGATATATTCCATCGTCGAAAACTTTTAAATCTTTATCCTAGTTGAATTTCATTAATTTGATACTGTATTTAACTAACATGTATTATCGATCTTAGTAACGATAAAATGGGGGATACTTCTCAACTAACCACGATTTGATTTGAAGAGTATTCCTTAACTCCATTTCCTTATATGTGGTTTTCCTATTCCACGTGGAGAAGTTTCTTCCTCTTTTCCATTCAACATTTATGGAGACTTTTTAATAATCTCATTCTAATCTCTAGTGATTTCCTTACCCAACTTGCATTATTCTTCTAGTCTATGATAACTCGTATATTCTGACGTCCTCCTAAGTCCCCCTTTCATTAGAATTAGATTCATTTTCTCGCCAAAGCGATCATTTTCTTGTGCGTAATCTGACGAAAGATATCCTTCAACTGCCTATTCAGAGCATTCATGTATCCCCCTTTCCTACATATTCTCCCCAATTTCCAAACTCCTGTTTATTCACCCAATTCCGTTTTCCAGCAACTAAAAACTCTCTCTACAAACCAAAACTCCGATCTCCTCTCAGTTCAATTCCCACCTTTCGGCAACCCCAAAAATCCAATCTTTTCCAATTTCCCAGCTGAATTCCAAGTGGGTTTTTCGTAATTCTCGGTTCATATGATCTGATTCGAGTCACAATTTTCTTTTCTTGATTCCGCCGCCGGGAAATGACCATGGACCGATCGGGCAATTCGTCGCCGGGAAGCCCCGACCCGAAATCATCCTCCTCCGGTTTCGTCCTCTCCATCGACTGCCTGAAAGGCGGCTCCAAGGCCGACGAGTGGACCGGCGACCTCCTCCAGACCGGTGACATCGTGGAGGAGATCGTGATTCCGGGTCCCTGGTCGTCGTCGTCGTCGCGCGGCGGCGCCGCCGGGCAGTCGTACCGGGCTCCGTTCAAGAACGGGAAAAACGGGGTCCAGAAGATTCTCCACGCGTCGTTCAAGCGGAAGGAGACGTCGATTCTGGTCCGGGTCAGGCGGCGGGGCGGGAGCGAGGTTTCGGAGCTGCAGGCGTGTATTGTACCGGATTCCGGCGGGAAGAGCAGTAAGCAGTACATATTGAGGTCCATCGACGACCCGAATTACACCGCCGGGTTCTGCGACCGAACCGAGTCCGAGTGCTATGAATTGCAAGGTCAGCTGGCATTGACTTTTCGCTTCTCCTATGTTTTTATTTTTTTACTTCTTCTGGTTTGACTGAGAGTTTTAACAATACAAAAAGGTCCCCTGTTTTCACTAGATATATTACAATTTTACTCAGCTACCCTGTTTTCTATCTTTATAGGTAAATCACCGTAAATGTAGTAATTAGTGAAAACTTTATAGATGTCTCGATCAAGATTATTCGACTAGTTGGATAATGACAATATTTGAATTTGGATTTGAATTTCGCTTGTTCGATTTTTTCGAGTATCGGGCATCTATAGGAAAGCGGGGATTACCTCGTAATTTACATTCCATACTTTGGTGCTTTAGTTAGTAATGCTATAGGAGATGATGCATTTTGAAGTAGAGAGAGTTATAATGTTTAAAGAAAGGATATCGATAGAGAATGAGGAAAAAGTATAGATCTAGGACTTTGATCCCTCGACTTGGTTTGATGATGAGATGTTTGCATCCATCATAGTAAGAATTCGTGCGTTATTCACATCCCCACAATAGACGAATAAAAAAAAAAATTCACATTCAACCATCTTAGCTAGAAATTAGAAATTGAAATCTCTTGTCATGAAAAAAGGAAAAATGGATTGTTATCTATCTCTCTAATTCTATTCTAGTAAAATTTTCTATTCATTAAAAAATCTACTCAATTTATGTCATTTGATAGGTCCAATCTCGAATTATGTTTAGGTTGACCAACTCTTCCGTTGAAAGAAAAGGAATCAAATCAGCTAGTCGTGAGCAAAATGAATCACAATTTTTAATAAGTGCTACGTAATATTATGCGGTGGCTTGAGATTTGTCAAAAAATAGCAGAAAACCGTGTTGCGTGAACTATGAACATTCACCCAAAACTGGTTTTGTCTTGCATATTCATCATGGTTTCTTTGGCCACTTGTCCACTCTTAAGGATGGAAAATCCTGAGATCTTTGACAAAATTGCCTTTGAATGAAAGCTAATCATAACAAAAGCCCTTCTTCTGGAATTTAGTGTATCACCTTCTACAAAAATGACTTTCCCTCCCATTCCTTATCTAACCTATACCCACTAACAATATTCCCAAGTGATGCTGACTTGTTTTGTGCCCAATGGAGTAGCTAGTTGCCTTCAATCTTCATCATGTTGAACTTTTGGACCCTTTTTATTAGAGTCCTAAAAATGGTTGTTCATTTCGGCTGCTCTTTGCCCTTCTTCTCGTGTTCATATGCAAAACCCAAACTTTAACTTTCCATGTGGGTTACCCACTTCTACAAGTCACAATGTGGCCTTTTTGGGTTCCAATATTGCCTGGGTAATGTCATGTCGTCACATTGATCATGTCACATAAGTTGTTACATCTTACGCGAACATAGTTTCATAGATCCATAATCTTCTTCTCCTCGAGAAGTGAAGCTTTATCATCACTTTTGCTATTATTTGACGACAATCATTACTTTGAGAATCTAATTAACTTGAACCCTGTCAATGTGTATGATTCTGCTTTGACACAAAAAGGTTCAAAAGGGTCAAGGATGGTGAGCGCACTATCGAGCTCCAAGCTTCAGGATGGATACGTATCTTATCCATGGAGGAGGAAGATGCAGGAGGTTCTGTCGGTTCCGAATTCGAGCTGTTTCCTTTCCATTCTCTTCCTCCCTGAAGCTTCGGATCGAGTTGCTTCGGGTTACAACGACCTCGAGCACACCCTTGCCAGAGCCAATGCGTGGCTCTTTGCATCGCAGGCTAATGGCGTCCCCATTGTCTTCATGAACATTCAAACAGAGTCCCTTCTCACCAAGGTATATGTGTTCACTAAACACCAACAACTCTGTTTTTTCAAAACAGAGTCCCTAAACAGAGCAACTCTGTTTTTAAATGCTTGAGAAGTGAAATGGATTCTACAAATGGTCTTATAATTGGTTTCTGCGGCAGATATCTGGTGAGACAGCCTCTTCAACAGTGAGTGCAGGCTCGCTCTCCGACCTATCGAACCTCGCGAATGCGAGCTTGTACGGCTTCGAGGATTACCACGGCGTGGACATAGGCGTGGTGAGAGCCGTTCGGCTATGGTACGCTCCGCTGTGCGGAGAGTTCTCCATCGAGATCAAGATCAAGGAAGATGACTCCAAGCTCGGGTTCGCCATAAGTCGAACCGAAGAAGGGTTCATCTACATTTCCTCGGTGATCGACGAGGAAGAAAATGCAGCCTCGACGAGGTCCGGGCTCAACAATCTCTACAAGGAAGCAACGTCCGCCTCCAAGTTGCTCGTTGTCTCCAGGGTTTCCAACCAGAAGGTGCTCCCTTGGATTGTCTCGTCGACGGGAGCGATTCGTTGCTACGACACCGTTTCGTTGAGCCAGAAGCTCTCCCTTCATCGCCACGCAAAGGTTCCCATCGTGATGCATTACTTCCTGTGGGACAGGGCGTTGGCCGGTCCGAGTCAGGGAAGTGCGAGGTATGGTGGTAGGCCTGTTGGGATCAGACCGCCGCGGCGGTCTGATCCCGTCCCTGTTCGAACGGATGTCGTGCAGTCATCCCCTCCTGCGCGACATTCGAACGAGAACCAAGTGGTCTCGCTTCCTCTGCCCCGATCGTCACAAGTGGCTCCTAGTAACGATGGTGATGATGGTGGTGTAGGATCTGAAATCAAGCTTGAGAGAGACACCGCAGGTGAACTATCTTTCAGGTTTCATGAGTTCTCCATCTCTAACAATTGGGTGTGAATTATGGAATGTAAGCTTTCTTGTGTGTAAAGCTTGGCATTGTGTATAGAGAGGTGTTTTTGTATGAATACAATGCTAGGTAACATTTTTGTAATGCATATTTATAGTTGATTAATTCTATGATAATTTTTAATCTAGTATGCAATATAATCCTTAACCAATAGTCCACCAATACAATGCATTTTTTCACTAAACATTGTGGAAATATGCTCCTTTCCCACTCTGGTTTATTATTGCTTGCTTCATACGCAAACTAACTACTACTTCCAAAATGTATGTAACCGTCCTTTTTCTCAACTACGGAAGTGGAAGTAGACAGTGTATGATTCGTCCCTAAAGCTCAGCAATGGTGCAAGAAGAAAACCTCTGTTCTCCCCCTTAGCAACAAAGCTAAGGGGATGGTACTGTGACAGCCCTCGATTCGCTGAAAAGCTTGCTCCTTTACCGAATTCATCACCACCACCACTGCCTGAGCTGGTCCTGCAGCTGAGCTTTACCTTAGCTCCTGGCTTGTAATCCACTCCACTGAACACAAAGCAGCCCTTCTGGGTAACAGACTCGAGAGACACGCTTCCTTCCTTCCCATCCAGTCCTGATACGACGAGGAATTCGGAAGATCCATCTGAAGGAACTGAGTTTTTGACCATGATTGCTTCATCCTTCCCTTTCTGCGTTAGCACCATCCCGGGGAGATGGAATGGCTCCAACATGACTTTTTCACCAATGAGATCTTCCAGTGTTGTTGATAGCTTGTGGTTGTTGTTGTTGCTTGAGACGAGTCTGAATGTGGAGTGGACCGAAGCATCGGTGCCAGGGTTGGAGAGCTTCTCCATCGTGATCGAGGATTCGTTTGTGTTTGTCACGACCAATGTGGAACCTCCAGATTCTTGGGAGAGGGTAAGGAGTTGGGAATTGTGTGTAGAAGAAACTGGAGTGATGGATTCAGGAAGGCTCGATCCGAGTTTGAGGTTCCAGTCACCATTGCTGTAGCCGGCAAGTAGGTATGGGCCATACAGGATTGCCATTATGGAAGCATACTCAGACCTGTCATCTAAACACATCAACGAAATTTTGACACAATCAAATCAGCTTCTTATTGATGTTGAGAATTTGCATCAAATATATGTATATCAATTTACTAAATTGAAGACCTTTGATAGCTTCAGTTCTCAAACTCATAGGCAGCTTTAGTGTCAATTTGTCACTGCTGCTCCACTTTCTTGTCACAGAGAGGAAATTTCCTGCATCAAAAGTAGCCAGTGCTGATTAAAAATTTGCTTCAATCAGCCATGGGGAAGTTTCTAAAGTGATTATTAGGCGTCATCTGAAGTATAGAAACCTGGTGCAGGTAGAGGCAAACTTCCAGCATTTAAGGTCGCCTCAGCACCATTTGCATTTGTCCAAGTTGGTATCCTCAGATTCAAAGTAGACGACTTACCAGACCCCTGCATCATTCCAGGCAGATGGAAATAACCACGTCAATTAGTAACTTGGGACCATAAAGTGCTGTGCATTGATCTGCAGCCAAGTAATCAACTCAAAAGAGTAGTTCAGTGAGTGTAGCTAATCCTAGGTTACCTCTTTCGGAGAAACTGTCAATGTCACTCGTAGAAAAGGCTGCCAAGAGACAACGGGATCAACTTTCTGACCGAGCAAGAACTGTCCAGATTCCCAGTCAAAGGTGCTCGATATGTACTGGATGATGTAAAGTCCTGGTGCATTCCCTTCCTCTTCAAAGTATATCGAATCCCCCAACTTCGAGAAGGACTCCACCCCTGGCATGGAAGTATAGAGCATAAGTCAGCACTTGCCTCAGTGGCTAGTACTGCTGAGGAAGTTCAATCATGAAACAAGAGTCACAATTGACTCATGACAGTACTAACCTGTTCCATAACAACACCAGAAGGACTGAAATGGTGTTCCCCATCCATGGTAGCTTCTACCCTTAGAGCTCCCAGGACCCTGTGGTAGCATGTAGATCATCACTCCAGGTTCTGTTCCTCTCTGGATCCCAAGGACACCATTGGTAATGGCACGCTCGTAGTAGTCTGCATAAGCCACTTCTTTCGTCCATCTGAAGAGGTGACGTGAGACCTGCTCAATTGAAAACGATGATCATCTCTGCAGAAATGCATCTCTGTGTGTGTCCTAAACAGCTTTTGTACAAAATAAGAAGAAAGGAACGATGATTACTTTGAGCATGTTGTAAGTAGTGCATGATTCTTCATTCTCTGTCTGCAGTGTACCAGCCAACCTCTTTGGCTCAGACCTATTCATACGTTCAAGAGGCAGGGATCAAATACTGAACGTGTATGAATATGACTGAAAATGGCACTTGTCATTTCATACCAGAATTCACTGACTGATGTCCCTCCAGTTGCATAGCTGTGAGAAGAGTTGACAATCTCCATGAAGTATGTACCAATTTCCTGGCACATCGAACCAGATTAAGAGGGGGAAAAAGTCATAAAACAAACAACAAGCATTTCAATCGAATACTTAAACATTCGAAGTTCATTGTGTACTGAAAGCTTGTTCAGAGGATCATTCTCACAAGAAGCTACAACTAGAATACTTGTTCAATGCCATCCAATGTACCACCAGAATGTTACACTGCTCAGTGGGAATCATATGGGACAATCGACAAAGCTATAGATCACCTTATAAAGTGTATCACCAGTGAGTTCGTAGCGCATCTGTGCTCCAATAACAATTGGGATATGAGTATTTGCATGAAAACCTGATATGTCATCAGCCTGAAACAAAAAGAGAAATCTCATTTGTTATAAGCTTAATAACTCGTACTTTTCAGACTCTTCTTGTCTCAAATGTAAGGCATTACTTACAAAGAAAAGGAAAATAAAAGGCAAGAACAACCTGGATTGCAAGCAGGCCAAGGAAGCATGGCTTGTCAAAAAGGTGAGCCAGCAACAAATGCTTGGAATTTCCCTACATAAATGAACACAAAGATTCCTATACTCAGAGACCAGTAAGTTGTACTGTAAAAATATGCAGTTCAATAAATGTAACCTATCGCAGATTGTAGTGGAACTTTAATAAGAGTATCACAGCAACTAGATCAAAAGAGAGAATCATCAACCAAATCCATCATTCTAATATTACCGTTACGCTGTACAATTTGTAGAGGATATCATTCATCCCTCCAGTTTCTTCATTAAGAGACCGGAAATGTCTCTCGATTGTATACTTGGTTATAACATTCTGGACACGGCCATAGAAGTAATCAGCCATCCAAGTTACCATCTTGAGAGCTTGAGCATTGTCCGCAAATATGTACTGATCAAAAAGACCTGCCATGATCTGGAAAAACCAGGAGTTTGACCAATCAAATGACATTTTGAGTAGTAAAATTCACTTCCCATGCTGGTAAGCAGCCATGGAACAAGAAATTGTTACCTTGTGAATGGTGTAATAAGGAGCCCAAACAGGCTGCACAGCCTCGAATCGATCGAAGAACTCCGAGGGGAAAGCAGATAGGTATCCTGAACCGATCTTGTCTTGACATTTAGATAGAGCTGACACAACTGCGGACATTTTCTCCTTGAGAGTTTCATTGTGCGTACTGGCATACATCATCGCTGCAGCACTCAAGTAGTGTCCTGAAACACAAATGACAGGTAACAATTCACTTGCCAGCTATTCTAATGTTTCAAATTTCAAGGTTGTGCTTGCTTTGACTAACTTTTAAGCTACTCATTTGAGTAAATGATCTGAAACAAACTCCTCATAAGCAAAATAAACATTATGAAAACCATTTCAAACCAATAACGAGGTACAAGCCCTCTGTCTTCAAGATTAAACCAATTCTTTATAGCAACCATTAAAGTTCAAACATAAAACCTTTACTCAGTACATCTCAGCAACCTATTATTATTGTCAACGACTCAGATTGTAACATTCAAACTCATCAATTTGAGCTCAAACACCAAACCTATGCTCCCATATCATCTTAATACCTACAAGCTTCTTGGAAAACACACGATTTGCCACATTCAAAGGATCAAAGCGAGAGCTATACTCTCACAACTCAATGGAAAACACTCAAATTGCCACGATCAAACTCATAGATTTGTGAACCAAAAAAGAGAAGGGGAACCAGAACTAACCAACAAAATGGCCTCTGAGCTCAACATCAGCAGCTTCCCAGCCACCATAAGGAGTTCCAGGAGTCGCAAAACCAGCATTCTTCCTGAAGCTCCAAACCAAATTATCAACATCCAACATCAGCAAGTACTCCAAATTCGTCTGCTGAGCCCTCCCGTACAAGGAACTAGGATCCAGCCTCACATTATGCAAAGACACTTCCTTCAGGAAACTCCCAGCAGAAGAAGACTGAACATTCTTCTTCATTTTCCTGTACTCCATCGCCCAATTGAACTCTTCCTCCTCCCTCAAAACCTTCCTCGGAAGCAAACTGGCCCAGGCCGAATCATCAGTCGGTATCAAATGATCATCCTCATGGTAATGGGCGAACATCTCCGACTTCCACGTGTCGTTGCCCGACGACAAAAGCCCATATCGAAACGTGTGGGAAGAAAGCTGCGTGGGACTGTTAGTACACTCTTTGCCCTCGGAGCAAGATATCAACAAGAACAGGAAGAACAGGGCAAAGACTCTTGCTTTAGCTTTCCCCGGCACCATTTTTTCTGATTTGACAAAGAACCCAGAAAGGGTGGAAGCTCTAAATCCGTATAATATAGGTCGCGGAAAGCTAAAGCATCGAATTTGAGGTAAAGCCGCAATCTTTTTAACAAATCCTCAGTACCCAGATGAGGTAAAGCCACTGTAGATGAAGAATCTTCTTTATTAATTTCTTAAGCCCGGGTTTTGATCTTTTGCTTAACTAGATAATTGAATGATTTGATCAATTGCTTAAGCACTAACACTAACACTAACACGCCCCCTCAAACGAAAGCCACTCACAAGGGCTTGAAGTTTGCACAGGTCTGAAGACAAGAATACCATGTGCTTAACAAATGGGGGTCACCGGGAATCGAACACAAGACCTCTCGGTCACAGAAGGCTATGATACCATGTCATGAACCAGTTGCTCCCAATAACTCGAGTTGTTGGGAGAGGTTCAATCGTGGATCATATACCACAACACTAACACTAACAGGAAGAGCCTTTGAAGGATGAAAAACCAGCTGGGCAACACATGAGATTATTAGTTAGAGAGACCTCCTAATTCCCTGTTAACCGTACTGACGAGTTGTTGGTATTAGGTATTTCGACGAGACATTCGAAATAAAAAAGTCTCAAGTAATTCGTCGAATTGTGATTTTTGGAAGGATAAGATGAGAATTTTTGATTTATAACGTCCCTTTTCTGTCATTTTGAAATATCGTAATTTTTTATCTAACGTGGACCCAAATGAATCGTCAACTTATTTTTGCTAGCATCGTCATCTACGTTATGCTGTCAAATATTATGATTGAATTTAACATTTATCTTCAATTCTGACATGTTACAAATTTTGCAAGCCTCTCTCAAGTATATAAACAAATACCACCATAAATTAAGAAAAGGAACATTGACAACATATGATTTGGATTCCAAGCATCGAATACATGACACCATCATAGTCCCTACCAAGCAACAAATCCACACCATTCACGATCAATCTCAACAAGCAATGACGTTGATGATAAGTTGAAGCCATAGGGAAACAAAAGTGTGTGCATATGGTTGAAGTTTATCTTGGAGGGATCGAAGTGGTTATGTGATGCACAAGTAACTCAATGTGGTTTTCTGTTTTCCAAGTGATCTCACTATATATATATATATAAACACTTTTGCTATGAGCCCTAACCAATTACTCATATACCCATCATTTTTGGGGAGTTTTGGGAGCGAAATGGATAACCAATCCCAAATGGGAGAGAATGGCCTAGACTAACTATGAATGAGGCGACACAAAATTGAGGAGAAAAGAAATCAACTACATTAACTTGCCTTCAAGATGAAACATTTTATGAACTGAAAGACAATATTCTCTTTTATGAACTAAATGATACGTCATCAGTTTCGTTTGAATCGACTCTAAATATGATTGATTTTTTGCTCGATGATCAACTACTTTGTTGCCTGACGAGGGGAATACGACGATTGCTACTACCTTTTGGTGACTAGTCACCTGTCTAAAGGTACCTTAAAAATCGAGGTTAATCTCAACATCTAATTTGATAATGCTCAATTGAATTAACCCAAAGATGACCACCTTATTTCTTTCAATATGCAACTTTTAGTATGATTGACAAATCATTATCTTCCCCTCTAGTTATGAACTTTCTTTTTTTGTTGGCCAAAATCAATGAGCACATGCACATCTAAATCAGCAAGAAAAAGTGACATTGAAGGAGGAAATATGGCCCTCTATCAAGCAACTTGGAATCATCTAAAACAAATAGAAGATTGGAAATTGGATTGGTCCAACAACTACTAAAACGCATTAATAGGCTTAAAAGTTGTCACAGCAAGATTAATTGAGTGACAACAATTTCCACCAACCCAAAATTTTGTCCCTCCTAAAACAAACCTTATCCTTTTGGCTTGACACTTGCACATTTACCCCCTCCAAAAGATGTACACAGAAAAAATCAGCATATATGTGGCAAGTGAGCTAAATAAGTAATCAATTCTCTATAGATGTGCATTTGTTATCCAAGTATAAGAGATCATGCATAAAGATAATGCGATATTAAAACATCACGAAAACACAATATTGTCGCTTTATTCAAAACCGAATCTAAACATATAGGTCCCATGCACGCCCTGCACTTACATTAATATTGTTAATCTCATAGAAGTTGAAACACTCTTAAACAAAACTGCATGTATTGCCAAGATAAAATTGATGATTGATTTATCAACCAACCAACCTTCTTCCTTTGTTAAAAAAAACAACACCTTTCTTCCTTCATCACCATGATAAAAGTTGGGACAAAAAGTCATTTACTAGACTCTTGGAAGAATGTGACCAAAAGCACCAACGAGACAAAATATGTAGAGATTCCAAAGCAATAATTAACTCAAATCATTATATTATATCGACATTTAACAAACAACAACCACTCATGTGTTTAGTATAGAAAAAAACACAACACCATCAACCCCACCACCTTGACTTGTTGGTGTCTTTTACCCTCAAATTCCAATCCACTTACACAATAATAACTTGGATGTCTGGATCAAAAAAAAAAAAAATAATAATAACATGGATGTCGATCAGGAGCATCTTAATTGTTACAATGCTGTTTATTATAATACGTTTTTTTTTGTTGTTGTGTATTTATCGTTGATTCTAATGAATGATTTCTTTTTATATGGAAAGGCCATACTTTTGTAATTAGAAAACAAAGAAAATCAAACGCTACAGACAGACCTGTTTACTTGCAATTTAATTTGTTTGTATTGAGTTATTATGTTTTCTTATTATTATACAACGAAAAATTAAAATACAGAAAGATGAGTTATTGCCAAATAGTCATGTAATTTTATTGGGCTTGAGACTGGCCCATAACAATATGCGCAGTTTAAACATGGCCGGCCGGCCCAGCCTTTTTTTTGTTTGTTAATATTGGGCTACAATGTCAATTTTTGGCGGTAAAACAGAAATTATAGTTGGAGTAGGAGTTGGAAGCGGCAAAAGTGCAGCCGTCGAATCAAAGGTACGTTTAAGCTGTAGAACAAGGGAGGAAGAGCAAGGGAATTGGTTCTTATTTACAATAAGGGAGGTTATTCGTTGTTGTTTACATGTAGACAAAATGCAGACTTCGGGGTTTCTTTCTACTGAGCAACTACACAAATACAGAGCAGCAAAAGTATAAGCTGTAAAAGCTTGTCCTGGTCCTTATTTCACAGTCTTCTGAGGAAGTTCCATGGCCCTGTACCAGTCCCCAACCTGCAAAAATCCATGAAGATCAATAGCCATGCTGTCAAAAGAGAACTGTAAATCTAAAAGTAGAATCTCAGGGACACTAGTGGAGCAAAAACTAACCTCCAGAAACCAGCAAAAGCTCTGAGGCTCATATAGATGGTAAGAGCAATCCAGAGGCCAATGAACTTGTAACTTGCAGACAGAAACAGCAAACACCCAATGCTGAATATGGCGACCAGAACCTGCACACAAATGACAGTATGTATTCCCCCACATGGATCAAGTTTATGCCTAGCGATTCATTCCATCAAAGTATTTGGTAACTTGGGAGTCAAGTCAAGAGAGAGTTGAGTCATCTATAATACCATTGAGTAGGCAGCATAACCGAAGTCTGATGCTCCGAAATTGACCCCATCGAAGACGAAAGCCAATGCGTTGATGGGTTGAGTCCCTGCAACAAACTGATGTTGAACAGAAAAAAAAGGACCATTTTAGTTTCAAACGATATTATACAATTTCTTTCTTGTTTAGAAGCGGAGGGAGGGGAGTACCGGGATGCCTATGCCAATTAGGTGAAGAACGTCGACATCATTGGTGAATATCCGCGCTCCGAATGTCAGCCCCAATCCAAGTACCAATGCCAGAACCAGACCCAGAAGCCATCCCAGCTGCAGTACTCTAGATGCAGTTGCAGTGGCTCTCTCGAAATCTTTCTGAGCAAAAGCACCTGCGATTATTGCCTGTGACACACAAGATAACATGAATGAATCAGTTGATCTGAAATTAAAATAGCTATAGGCACTACAAGGAAGGAATGAAGGAAAAGCTATTTTTTTTTATCTAACCTGGCCAGCCACTGCCAATCCATCAGCGAGGAGAGATGTGGCCATCCAGACCTGCAAGCATACCTGAAATGCTGCCATGGACGTTGGACCTTGTCGGGCAGCCAAGGATGCAGAGAGAGTAACACAGAATGTCACAGCCACTACCCTCATCAATAGCAGAAAGCCTGGGAAGAAGTGTATCCAGGTAAGGAACCAGAGAGGTTTGGTTGAATAAAAAAAATGCATTAGATGCCTGGAAATACCGTTTTTTAGGAACCGGCCAAATTGTAGATGCCTGATGCTAGGTGGTACTAGATCAACTTGTGCAATCAATTTCCACAGGAGTATGATTGCGATCAGGTACCTGTAATCAACAATGGTTTGAGAATCTTACTACAAGCAATGGAATGATAACAGCAGGATGTATAGCTATACGGATCAACTCACTGGGATATGATGTGGGAAATGGCGGCACCACTGACCCCGAGACGGAAAACAAACATAAGTATAGGATCCAAAATGATGTTTGTGACATCACCAGCCACTGGAAAACAAGGTGATCAATAACAGAAATAGAATTAGTATCAAATGACGACCAACACTGAGCAAAACTGCTGCAGAGTTGCACAAAAGCCATACCAGTAGCATACAAAGGGGTTTTCGTATCCTTGAAACCCCGAAAAACACCTTGCATTGCTAAGGAGAGGAGAATCGCAGGAGCACCAAGCGATCTCAGGGTTAAGTATTGTTGTGCAGGAGCTAACATCGGCGAGTCCTGTAACAGAAATAAAGAATCCAAAGTTTGACCTTCTGATATTGATCACAGGGGGAGTATACTCTGGTTTTCAAAAGGAATCTCTAGTTAATGTACTGACAGATTTGACTCCCATGAAGTTGAGAAGAGGTTTTGCAGCAGAAATGAGGAACACAGTTTGGACAAGGCCAAGAATGGCACCAATGACCAGAGCTGATGAGGCAGAAGGAATATGCCTTCTTTCATTTGCGACCTTACTACTAGCTACCTCAAAGCTGCTGACATCTCCAGAATTTGGAGGTCCACCTATGAAAACCCCAGAGCAGCAAGACAAGAGGTAACTTGAGTTTTTTTTTTGGAGAGTGTAACTTGAGTTAGAATGTATTGCAGGTTGGGAAAAATTATGAAAAGGGTGGTTTCAGAAAATGGGATAATACCACTTTGTGGTATCAATTCGTTACTCTCATTGTTACTGACTATGCCGGTTTCCAAGGACTCGCTCTCTTCTGCTTCAGCTGCCACTTTCGCCATCACGTCTTCCTCAGCTACAAACGACGTTGTAACACTGACTAGTGGGAAGATTGCAATCCTCGAAATTTGATTGAATAAAGCAATGGACACTCCAACAGCAGCAAGCTCTACAGAACCTGATGTTTCAATTGAAAAGAAAAGTTTGAATGAATTGCCAAAAATGGACAGAGGTTCTGTTTCGTTAAACATCATACCTATTCTGCCAATGAATGCTGTATCAACAAGAGAAGCAATGGGATCAGCTGTCAAAGCCATAGCAGCCGGCACAGCTATTCGAGCTATTTCTAAACCGAGCTCATCCAGTTTAAGTACAAGCCTGTAATCAGCAACCATCAACACACAAGTGAAAACCTTGATCCTACATATTAAAAGTTACTGCATAAAGTGAAAGGGATTGAAGCACAAACAAATTACCTAAAATCTTTGACAAAAACCCAGAGAGGGAGTTTTGGCTTAGCCATGGATGGAAATGGAGGATCTAAATCAGCCATCATTTGAGCCACCACCAAGAGAGTAGAGATCCACCACCAAAAAGCTCTCCTCTATATACTAAGGGAAGAACAAGAGACAGGAAATTAGACTGGGATTCTTAGATTACTTAATCCACAACACCATTAGCAAAAAAACCCAGTAAGGGAAACAACCATCACTCCACATTCCTGCCTAACATAACTGATTACCCATTTGCCAAAGGTACCGAGACGTATCAAATTCCCAAACCAAAACGTTATGGAAAGGCTACCAAATATAAAGCAAGCTTCTAGCTTTCCAGAGATGAAAAGACTAAAGAGAGAGTCACTCTTACCAGAGCTCAAAAGCCACTTTCTTTCTCTCTCAGGATTAAACTGTCGTCGCCATAATAAGGACAGTTCGGTTTCCTACTTTCCTTAGTTGAAACGAACGAAAGGGAAACGTACCAAACAGATTTCAGACCTTTTTCCTGAAGAAGACAAAAGTTGTTTGTTTAACTTTTTATCGCCATGCAATCAAAGCACTTTTCCACTCCCCCACCCTCCTTGAATCGGCGAGGTTTGTAGTTTTGTCAGCAAAGGTTACAACTTTGACACTTCAGAGTTCAGAGCAGAAAAATGGTGGAAGACCCAGTAGAGTAGTGTATAGTGACTAGTGAGGCAGGACAAAAGGGCTAATAAGTAAGGAAATCTGTGGCTGATAGAGAGAATCTGCGTATGTTGAAGAAAAATGAGAGGAAATGCATCAAACCCATGAAATGAGAGAACTAAAACGAAGGTAAGTTTCCATGGAAAGGTGACTAATGGGGAAGGGTTGGCCACTAATCGATTCAGGGAAAGCAGTACAGACGGGATGAACAGTGGGACTATGACAAAACAAAACAGAAACGGTTGTGAAGGAAAAAAAGACGGGTCTGAATTCTGAAACACCATTAATGATAATTAATCGCATCTGTTGAACAGTGGAGGAAGCTCAAGACAAAATTGTTTGCATGCTTAACTAAAAGAGCTGCGAGTGCGAGTGGCTTCCAAGTGTGGCTGATGATTGATGACTCATTGAGCCAAATTGAGTTGGCCACCACCCACACCGCTAATAAATAACACCCCACATTCGAATTCGATGCCCTTGAACCATAAAGTTGCAATCTTTCTACGCAAAAGGCAAAACCAGAAGTGGAACTGGTGGCGGTGGCATTAGGTTCCAATGGCTGATAAGTCGAGTAATGGCACATTCTCAAGTTGGGATAGTATAAGTGAGTTGAATTGAAGTAAAATCATAAGAATCTCAAATTGAGATAATGTTAAGCGAATCATGATAGAATGGGCCTAACAAAATGTCAAAGGTTTTCGAGTTACAACAAATGACAAATTTTCCCTTACTCTAATGAAAAATCTGGCAAATTCGTATGCTCCAAACATCTCAAACTGCATTCCCAACCTTTACCACCTAGTAACTACACCCGCCAATAATAATAATCATCAATGTGGCCAAAAAATCAAATTCTCAGCAAACCACCACTCACCTAGTGGTTGGCAAAAAGAATCGACAAATTCTTGTCTTTCTCTTCTTCTGTTTACCACAAGCCGAGGGTCTTCCACCAGAAGGCACCAATTCCGAGCCAGATCGCGATGTTGACGATGGAGATGAGGAACCCGTATCCCCACCACTGTGCCAGAGGGACGTAGCCGGCGCCGTAAAAGACGGGCGCCGACCCGATACCGTAGTGCGTGAGTCCTCCCATGAGGTTCGAGAGGAAAGACAGCACCATGGCTCCCATGTAAGGCGGGGTTCCCAGGGCGCTAGCCACGGACAGGAATGCGGTGAACATGGCACCAATGTGAGCCGCGCCACTGGCGAAGAAGTAGTGGGAGTAGAAGTAGAGGAGGACCAAGATGCCGAACGACGCCTGCCATGAGAGTCCTAGTCCACCAACAACCTGCAAAGCAAACATCCAGAGTCATGAAAATGTTCATCATTCGACAAAGGTCAGTGAGGACGATGTTGATGGTGATAGGAGGAGAAGAAATACACGACGAACCTTGACAACGGTTTGACTGAACCAGGAAATGAGGCCGTATTTGTTCAGGTACCCTGCCATGGCGATGAGGGCAGCAAACCACGTTAGGGTATCCCACGCTACTGATTCGGCTAAGCATTCTTTCCATGTCACCACGCCGGAGATTAGGAGGACCGACAACCCAAGAATAGCAGCGGTCACAGCATCGATGTTCAACACTCCACCAAATATCCAGAGGCCCACCTTCACAACAGAAAAACCAGTGTGCACTTATTGCCAATGCTAGATTGCTGATCAAAGAACTAAGGCCTTAACTATCATCAATCATTCCTAAAGCCAATTTGCTATGGCTAGGTGTAACTAAGATTCAATTGAAACAAGATTCTGTAATGCAGCAAACGATCACTAACCCATCAAATACCTAAAGCTGAAATGCTACATTCTCTGAAGCCTACAAGGAAAGCACCAAGCTTTATACAAATCACCTAAAACCCAGGCACGATTCAACGAGGAAGTACGAGGACAATACCGTGACAAGCAGAGTTCCAGCCATGATGACCTCGTTCTTGGTCATCGGCCCCATCGTCGCCAGCTTCTCCCTGGCCAATTTGGGCGCATCAGGGCTGCTCTTGATCGTTGGCGGATAGACAATGTACAGAATCAACGGGACGACAAGCAGGGAAACCAGCCCAGGTACAAATGCAGCCTTAGCCCAATCAGTCCACCCAATCGTCTGCTTAATAGTATTCATAGTCAAATTGACACACAACGGGTTAGCCGCCATGGCAGTCAAGAACATCGCCGACGAAATCACCGAGGTCTGGAAACAAGTCAACATCAGCCACGAACCGAGCTTATGCTCCGTCCCGTCGCCCACATTGCTGCCGCAGGCGACGCAGAGCGACTTCACGAGCGGGAGAAAGATCCCTCCGGCTCGAGCAGAGACGGACGGGATCGCCGGGGCGAGAAGCGCCTCACTGAACACCAAGCTGTAACCTAACCCTAGGGAAGAGGATCCAAACAGGGAGACGAATTGGTACGCGATTCGGTTACCTAGTCCCGTTTTGATGAACCCGCGGGCGAAGAAGAAGGCGAGCGCGATGAGCCACGGGATCGGGTCGCCGAAGGCGGAGAACGCGGCGGCGAAGGGTAGGGTTTTGGTCAGTACGGACGCCCCCAATCCCATCAGCGCGACTGCTCCGAGCGGCAGGGGCTGCGTTATGATTCCGACGATCGTGGCGAGGAAGATTGCGAGGAGCTGCCACGCCTGCTTAGTCACTCCTTCCGGTACCGGGACGAACCAGAGAATGACTCCTGTAGCGATCGATGCCAGCAACGGCTTCATCGCCGCCCCCTGCCATGGCTGCGCCGGTGCCGGAGCGGGCGCGGGAACCGGAACGGGAGATGAAGACGGAGCCTCGGAAGAGGCCCGGATTCTGAAGGTGCGTGAGGCATTTGATTTCAGAAGGCAGGGAGTGGCGAGGGGAGAGAATCTTGCTCCGGCGGCGAATGAAATGGAGGAGGGGAGTCGGGAGGAGAGGCGAACGGCGGATCTGAGCGTAGGGGAGGGGAATCGGCGGGATTTGAGACAAGGTAGGGAATTGAAGGCGAGGGAGCAGGAGGTGGAAGAGGTCAAAGCGAGAGACGCCATTTGGCGGTGGCCGCAGCAGCGGCGGCGCGGCGGCGGTGGCGAGGGTTCAGAGATTTGTCAGAGGCGGAAATGGAAAGTGGGGAGAAAGCTGGGGTGGGGCTCAGCCCTAATGGTTTTTTTATTTAAGAAACTGGGAGGAAGAAGAGATCTGGACCGTTGGTTGGGAATCATCGGACGGTCAACAGAGGATGTGGAATATACGGCTGGTAATTTACGCCACCGAAGCTTCGTTGTCGTTGATACCGTCAGTGGGATCGAAATCTCCGTCTCCAGATCCTCAATTTATTTTCTTGGAATTTATAAATATCTACGGAGAATTAAATTAATAATTACCACTATGATACCAAATTTAATTGATAATTAGAGTAACTAAATATCGTTTGAAGGAAAAATATAATGTACTGAATTGAAATTTTAGCGCCAATAAGACAAAAGCGGGAAATGGAATTCCATGCTGGCGGGTGATGACACGAAGGCAGCCACGTGAGCAGTTTGGGTGGCTGGCAGTGTGGATGGACCGATAGGGAAACGGGGGGTCCACCAATGAAGTGGCAGGGCATTCACGTGGCGATGCTGGATTGGGTGGGGGAAGGAGAGAGGGAGGGAGTGTTGTGTGTGGCAGAACAGAGGCCAGGGAGTTTTGGGGTGATCAATTGTGCTAATGGGTACTTCATTTTGAAGTCGTTAACAAAAAGATCATTGTACTTTGATTTTGTACAAATTTGCCACTATACTTGGGATGAATTGACGGAACGATCACTTTGTCCATCAACCTCAAGTCGTCCTTCATTCAAAACTCTCCATATTAGCAATATGCCAGCTAAACCAAATCAAGATTAGGCATGGGCGTGAATTAAATCATAATTAGCCAATAGTACGGTCCATTTTTACTCGATATGAAATCAAACATGTTGCTTCACCGAATCATAGCTGATACAAACATAAAACCAATATAATCCCTTCAGAATTGAGTGACTTGACATCGCCATGACGAACATCTATCTGAAAATGGAAATGGCAGGCGCGCTGGTTATAACTATATATTAATTGTTCCAAAACTCAATGACGTATCATGTTAAATAATCGACACTGGTAGTGATTTCTTCGTTAGTGACCTTGAAATAGAGTGACCAAATACCAATTCATGTCGATGGTCGAGGTGCTGGGAAAGGACAAGGATACCCCCATGCTATCTAGGGCAATATGTCACATGTGGAACAAAATTTGGAGCCACACAGAGGACCAAAACACAAAAGGAGAAGAAAAGAAAACCCAACCACGTGCCTTTGATTTCGGCTCTTGGGATCTATCCCCATTCTCCACTGATCATGTGCAGAAACAGAGCAACACACACAAGACAAAAGGACAGCTCAAACTACGTACGGACAAACTAAAGTGAGTCGGCAACTTGTGGCCATGGTGGCGACTGGCGCGCATTCAATCAGCAGCAGCAGCAGAGGAGGGGAAGAAGAAGAAGAAGAAGAAGGAGAAGAGGCAGATCTCTGACTACTTGAATGAAGAAGACAAAGAAGGCTTTGTAGAGTAGAGTTGGGGGACCAACCAAGAAGGAAAGGAAAGGAAAGGAAAGGAAAGGAAAGGAAACGGGAAACCGCTAGTGAAAGTGACGAGTGATGTGAGTTCGCATGCCAAGTTGTGGTCTCTGTCTCACTCTCACGCTCTCGTATTTAGCCTTTGGGCTCCTAATCTATAAGAGGCTAATGAATTGGTAGACCAGCCCCACTCGACTTGCGGGCCTTTCGTGCTGGGCTTTTTATCTGCATACCAGCGCATATGGGAGTACACGTACGTACGGCTCGTCCGCTACTCCTCAACTTGTTTGATCCATGGTGGTTCGGTTCGAGCCCAACCCAATGGTTAAGGGAGAGCAAAAGAGTTTGTTATATCTCTCAACTTGTATGTTCCACGTGTCGACATACCTTCAGTTTGTGGCTTTGTGCCCTTATTGAAATTATCTATCGTATCGTAATGTATATAAGTCACTCAACACGTACACCATTTAGTAGCACGTGCCCTTTCTTGTCAGCTTTGCATGGATCCACGTAATGCTGTACAGCATGCAGCACAGCATAAAACGACAGCTTAGAACAACTTAGGTGCGGACGAACAAATTATGAGCTGTCAAATTGTGGCCATGGTGGACAACGAAGAAGAAGAAGGGCGCTGTCCTTCGAGGCGAATGTCATGAACCAGTTGATCCCAATAACTCGAGTTGTTGGGAGAAGGTTATGCTGGATCTTATACAGGCCCGTGTATGGTGCTGAACCACTTCCTTACACGCCCCCTCAAACGAAAGCCGACTTATGGGCTTGAAGTTTGCACAGGCCCAGCCCTACCATGTGCTTGAAAGACAACGATTAATATTGGGGGTCGTGAGGACTTGAACACGTGACCTCAAGGACAAACTAGCTCTGATACCATGTCATGAACCAGTTGATCCCAATAACTCGAGTTGTTGGGAGAAGGTTATGCTGGATCTTATACAGGCCCGTGTATGGTGCTGAACCACTTCCTTACAGCGAAGAGGCAGTTCGCATGCAAGTTGTGGTCTCGGACTTTGTCTCAGGGCCCCCATTCTAAGGCTAATGGAGTAGGCCAGCCCCACTAGACTTGCGGGCTTTTTTTTTTTTTGGTTATGGAGTTTCTGGGCGGAGAGCCCATGAAAAAAACCCATATTAATGGTGCACGCAAACGCAAGTACAGCGCCTCGCTCCTTCACCTCGACCGTGTTCTTTCTGAACTTCTTTTTGATTCGTGGTGATTCGGTTTCAATCAAGCCCAATGGTTAAGGGAAGAGCAAAAGGGTCTCGGATAGTGCATTAGGTTTATGTTAGTGTGTGATATAAAATTTATTATGGAACCTTTTTTCAACAATTCGAGCTGTTGAAATCAACTGGTTCTTTGACATATCAAAGCGCGCATGAGTCCATATATGCGGTTTTATTGTTGTTTCAGGCTAGATGGAAGAGCAAACAAGTGAAGCTTACACAAGGGACAAAACAAAAGGGTCCTTGACCAGCCATAATAACTCGAATAGATCTAGCTATAGCGTTACAATGCTGGTTCGGTTGAGATGTTCGATACTCTAATAAAATCATCTGCGATTGTATCGGATGTTAAATGGATTGGCATTGCACCAATAGAACTGAACTTCTCTGGCCTGCTTCTTGTGGTCTTTCCAAGTGGGTTAGGGCGGTGGACTGAGCTGCATACTTGGAATTCATTTACTATAACAACAGACTAACTTGTAAGGATCTTGTAACTACTTCTACCACAAAAACAAAATCCTCTTTGTTTGTAGTATGAGATGAGAATAGAAGTTCGGGTGTTGATTTTGATTTGTAGAGCTCGATCTGATTTGTCTTGACTCATTTCGTGATTGTTACATATGATAGAAAATGGGGGTTTTACTTTCATCTGGTCTCGCTCCATTATATCTCATTCTTTCTTCACATGACGTAGAGTAATTTTCTAAAACGTTTACTCATATTTCTCGCCTGTTGTGTTTATTTTATGATCTACGTAATCCCAATTGAATGCGAGCTTCATTTCTCAAATAGTTTTAAGTTCCTCAGCAAGGTGATTCTCTCACTTTTTCAATATCATTCAAGAAATATTTCTCAAGTTTTTATACAATGGCAAAAATGTGCCAATCTACTCTCAACATGTGTCTTTATTAAAATGACTTAACTTGCATTTAGCACTCAACCAATATGGTCATAGTTGTGGACCAAAAAAAATGGTACATCAAGAGTTTCATCAACATGATAGTGTAATCACGACTTAGATATTTTGTGAGCTAGCTAGATGCCCACAATTCTCGTTAGGAATTGAGTGTTTAAGTTAAGACATCAATAATTAGTGTAGGAAATAAGTGACCCACCACCATTGAAATGAAACAAAGAGGAGTAAAAGGGAACAAAAGAGGCAGAAATCAAACCCCTAATAATCATGTAGTTAATGGTAAACCGAACCCTCCAAATTTCCATATGAAAAATGATGGAGTACTACACTCACATGTATCATGTTAGTTATGCAACACAACGATAAAAAATGCCAAACAAAATATAACATAATATACAAGATATGGATCATTTGCCTAAATGGTCATTGAACTTTTGGTTATTAGCAACTTACTATCCAGACATTGTGATCAAAGTTTGGAATACCTAATACAATAGTCACTTTTATCTAAAATGCTAAATAAACTATTTCACCCAAATTAGTGTCCCAAGTCAATCAAGTTAGTAACAGAATGCCTCATAGACCCTAATTAGTTTATATGCAACTATTATTTTAAACTGATTCTCAATTTAAGTCCCTCACTCAAATTCAACAGACAATACCTTAATTAAAGTACTATCGTAATCTCTTACTAATCGGGCTTCATTCTTTGGTGACTCTTTAGATGGTCTATATGATATCTTTTATTTTTAATTCGGATGAGGCAATACATTTATTTTGCACAAGGAAGTCTATCTTTATCGTTGAGTCAAAATTTTGATGGTTTATACTAGTGCAAGGATTTGAACTTGCTACCTCATACACATTATGGTTTCATCAATGAGGATTTTAATATGCTTCTTGAAATTATTCTTTCATAAGCCTCATTTCCCAACTTTGGAATATCGATGGTCCATAATCCATACACATTAACATTGACAAAAGCTTGGTTTAGTGACCAAGAAGGCGTCTCCCTATTGGACCATTCCACAGCCTCACCAACCAAAAGGGGAAGAGGAGGCAATGTTAGCTTATAACTGGAGTAACCTTCTGCCGGTAGAAACCAAAGCTTTGGCTAGAGAACAGTAAGCAGAAAGCATATAGAGAAAAAAAAGTTAGAAACTTTGGAGTGCCCGCCAATTTTGCTCATTCATGTCTTATCTATATATGTTATGTTATCTACGTGCCCTATCATAGCTATGGGATCTCGGCACGAGTCGGTTCATCGATCGAGATAAAAGACAGGTGCGGTAGCTGATCAAAAGTCGACTTTTTTTATAAGAAGAACTGTTTTGTTATACATACATGACGTAAATTGATTCGAAACTTGTTAAAATGAGATTCAAAGAAGACGAATT